ACCTGTTACTGAGTTAATTAGAGATACTACTTTCCTGCCTGCTTATTCCGTGTCTTCTTTTTTCAGAGAAGTCATGGAGGAGGGAACCAGTTGCTATACTTTAGTTCACAGCATCTCAGTAATATGTTATTACTTTTCAACAATGTTTCATCATTACTGCAGCAGCATTTTTTTATTTCAGCAACATCACTGCAATATTTCAGCAATATCAAGCCAATATTTCAACCCTATCTCAGCAATATTTTCTAAAAACTAAATTCAGCAATGTCTCAGCAGTATTGCAGATTTATCCAATAAGCTACCATTGTGACCATCAAATCCCCATATTTTCCACTCATTACATGTGGGATGGGTACTGGGTTTGATGCTGCTGTGAACAGTATTCCAGTTATATCAGGAGGAAAGCCCGAAGTGATGCAGGGGCGAACAGGGAATTGAACCTGTGATCATAGGTTTCTAGCATGCCTAAAGGACGCAACCCTGAACAGCGAATTGCATCACCTTAGATGACTAGGACACCCGTGATGGATCTGAAGTCCATATCAACAGATAACATGGTACAACTCACTGGTGAAACCAAATGTGTATATTAACAATGATGGCATGTTCTGACTTGTTTCAAATACTTTAATAATCATAGTAATCCTTAAGTATAAACACTGTTTATAGTTTCACCAGAATTATCAAGCCATCATATCAAGCTAAATTTAAAGGCTGACATAACAGACTACACTCCTGTGAACTGGTTCACTTAAAATACTATCAGTTGCATGGCAAATAGCATCAATATTATTGGCTATTCCTTATCAGTTGTGTGGCAAATAGCATCACTATGATCCCCTATTTCTTCAAGCCTTCGCATGGTGTACTTCTTTGATTTCTAGAAATATGCCACTTGTATTTTCGCAAGAATATTTTTTCTATCTAAATATTTACCAGATACATTGAGTATGTCAGGCCTTTCAGTGAAAGATGAGATCATATTTTGACAACAAATTTCAAAAGATGTGTATTGCTAGATATTCTATTTGATTTGAGAGGTTGCTGATGAATGATAACAGGAGAAAAACACTTTTGCCTTTGACAGACTATCTTGATTAAGATTCTGTTTATTTAACTAAAGCAAGTCGAAAACCTTTTTCAACATTTGTTTATGATGCCTGACGTGCCAAAAGGAAGTAAGTTATCATTACAAAAAGAAAAGTTCTTTTTGGTCAAATATCCTTTACACTCTAACTGATAAACAAACATTTATTGAAGCTGTCTTGCCAAATATTTCTTTCACTATGTATAACTATATTTAACACAAATTTCACGCCATAAAAGCGTTACATGCATGTTTCAGATGTGAATACTTTGCTGAAACACGTTCCATCGTTCATGGCATAGTTAGAACCACTGGAAACTGATCCCATATTTGTTTATCTCACTTCAGCTGGACCAACTAATTGTCATACGGATGAGACAGAACTATTTTGCAAAATTGTAAATCATTTTTGAGTGTTTGATTAATCTAGGCTCAACTTGATTTGTTTAACTTGCTGTTGTTTATGCAGCACTCTGCATAATGGCCTGCAAAAAATCTAATCTGGACCAGACAATGCAGTGATTGTTATTGTGAGTAATGACCCACCCCAATGATACTCCATCTGCCATGTCTCCGATATTGACCACTTGATCGATTTGGTCGCATCTTCCGAACAGCAAAGGTTGCTGGGGACCTAATCTAACCAGGAACCCTCACAAGGGCTAAAGCGGAAAATCATTTTGGTTTTGGTTTTCATGTGTTTTTAGGCAAAAACAATTTCTCTATTAACACATGACAACATTTTGTAAATTTTGTTTATATTTTGCTGCTTGTAGAATTGTGCTGACCAGGAAGATGGGTAAACAGTGAAGCAAAAAGGTCTGGCCTCATCAGTGAGGTGACATGTGGTACAGCTTTCTCGGTTTTGCTAAACAAATTAAACATCATGACTCTTATTGGTCATTTTGTCATGAAATGCCACATCATGAATATTTTGTTAAAATATGTATAGTTCTTTTGTTCTTGTTTATTTATTTGTTTGTTTGTTTGTTGGTTAATGCCGCACTCAGCAATATTCCAGCTACATGTATATGACAGCAGTCTGTAAGTAATCGAGTCTGGACCAGACAATCCACTGATTGACATCAAGAGCATCTGTCCACGCAATTGGGATACTATGACATGCATCAACCAAGTCAGCGAGCCTGACCACTTGATCACGTTAGTCGCCTCTTACAATAAGCATAGTCGTCTTTTACGACAAACAAGGGTTGCTGAAGGCCTATTCTACTCCAGATCTTCATGGGGCTAAAATATGTAAAGGGTACTTAGCTCTGTCTTGAATCAATAATAAACCTTTCCCATAATTTGCCTGCACACCTTTTATCTAGTCCAAATACACCTTTAACCTATTTCCATCTGTTTTTATTTAAAACAACCATTCTTGGTGTTCCAACTCGCTCAGGCAACGGTACCGATGGTAAAGAAAAACTCTCACTCACTGAAACACCCTCATGAAACAATACACAAACTCGTACCACTGTCTCAATGGAAACTTTACACATCAACATATGAATGAAATCATCATAACACACCAAGGCAAATTTGCACTCATCATCTCTGTGATGGGGAACATCAAGCCTTTCAACCTTCAGTGATTTCATTTTGATATCAATATATATCAATTCACATATTTGAAGCCTAATCGTTGACCATATCAGACAACATGACAACCCTTCTTGAGGGGCCTGTTTACAAGAGGATAGGGATCTCAGAGTAGCCCCTTGCTGCACCATCAACAAACTATTGCAAGAACAGGAACAGGAACAGGAACGAGGAGTCAGTTGATTTCAGAAGACTATAAACAGTTCAGTCACATTATTCTAATAACCTCACAAAAATTACGACTGAATATAAATAATCTACATTCTACACTGCACATTAAATACATGACACTTTTTATGGATAGCAGCTTCTTTCAGGACATTTCTGAGCTACTTCTTGCTCCTTCTTTAGGAGAATGCTGGTGAAGGAGCAAGAAGGAGCTCTGAAACATCACGACAAAGAATGAAAGAAGTTGCTTTCCATGAAAAGTGTCATGTATTCATGTTCTTCCAACTTCTAAATGGCTATCAAAGACTACACTGCATATTGGTCATCATATCCGTCTGGGTTCAACGCGACTCCTTGTTCACAGCACAATGGAACAGACCTCACATTTGTCAATCTTTCAGCTCAACTAATGGATGAGTTAGTGAGGGAGTTTAACACCACTTGAAACAGTATTTCAGTTATATATATATATATATCTATACAGCTTGTTTAATGGATGAGCCAAATATTTTGCAAAAAGTCCCCCCAAAATTAGATAAGGCCACAATACATATATTGTTAGATCTTCATCCATATTTTTGAAAATTGTAAAACAAGAAGCATTTTATCTTTTTTATTTTCTTCCAACAAACTGTTCAAGACATCTGTGTACATTAAACCTTGATGAATGTGATTTATCTGTACCATGACCAAATGTTTGTTTGGACAACATACAGATATATGAAGAAAAGAGCAGGGGTGGTAGGAGGCCTAGAATAGCTCCTTGCTGAACCACCAATATAATATTGCTGAACAGGAACATTAGGGTCCATTGAATTAAGGGGACTGTTAAACAGTGAATCCCAACTCTTAATAACTGCAAATAAGACTGAATAAAAATAATCAACTCTACACATTGGTCATGATATTTCTCTTGGTTCCTGCACGTATCTTACGAAGCATTACATATCAAACATGAGATAAACATACAAAAACATAAATAATATACAAAATAACAACATATACATTATTTAACAACAAAAGCCTTTAAAACAATTACCTGAGTTGAAAAACAATAACAATAGCATATATTCTATTGTTCACAACCAGATTAAGCATAGAAATCACACATAAGGCAACCAAGCATCACCTGCCAATAATTACAATCAATATGTACAATGTTGAAATGCTTTCATATTGATCGAAGTGAAACTACAGCATATATTCTATGATGAATTTGATATCTTCTCACCTAATCATTGGAAAAGTTTGAAATTGTATTTCATATTTTATTTCATACTTTAATTATGAAACTAAATTTGATGATATTTTGGTGGTGTTTTTAAAAAATAAAATTGTGTTGATGGACATCGGTTCCTGTTATTAGCTGCTGTGGTGAGAGATGAAAATTATCAGGGAGGTATACCATATTTTCTTATATATAATGCGCACTTAAGCACTTGAATTGGGGGGTGGGGTGGGGAGAGGTTTTAAACCACCATTTTAATAACTCAAATCTATTTCATATTTTGTAAAAATAATTATTTTACTTATTTATTCATATTTTGAGTTATTTTATTTGGGCTACTATTTACTTCCATTAATGATGGAAATATTCTGGTTAATAAAACGTGAGTGCAGTTGTCGATGAATATATATTATGATAAAGTCAGCACAACTCAACATCAAGCTCATCATCACCTTCGAAATATCCATATTATTGATGAATTCATATCTCTCCATTGTCATAATATTTATTGGACATAATCAACAAGTATTTATCACATATATGTGCACAGTAGCTGTTCTGAAACGGCTGTTTGTTTTTCATATTCACATAAAAATAACTCAATGACTGAACAAAGCATGTTGTGTGAAGAATCTAATATATTTTGATATATTCAGACAAATATATTTTGTTTGAAATTTCACAAAGATCAACACATTCAAAAAAAGCCTTACACAGAGATTTTTAATAGAAAATAGCCTCAAAAACGTTTTTGTCTCTGTCTAGAAGCGGCTTATGAAGGGGAGGTAACCCATATCACCAATCTGAGGCCGATTTTCATGTTTGGCGATTATACTGACGTCGGAGCAGACGAAGCCGCCTGTCATACGCCATTCTGTTTCTGTGAGTTCTGTGATAAGCGTGATATCTTACCGAGGACCACGGCTCAGTCCGCCACTGATTGGAGGAGCTGTTGCACTCCCCGGAACACAGGCGAGCATCAGTCGGACGGATGAATATGTCACAGTTGGAGTCCGCCAATATCTGACCATTGGGCAGCTGGCACCGGACTGCTCGACTCTGCTGACCTTCAACCCCACAAGGCGAGGAACACTGTCAGGAGATTGGAAAATAGTTAAGAGTAACAGCAGACAGAAACATCATGAGATGTCTTGGTTGTTTGTGAAATAGGACTTACAATATAGAAAAAACAACAGGATCTTTGGTCTTTTATATTTTAAGGATTATATTTAAAAAATATAGTGACTGGCCTAAATAAAATATAAATAATATTGCAAGACAATACTTTTCACAAGTGGTCACTAAATAAGTGTTAATTTTCACTAATTCAATTTAATTATTGTATTACATACTTCAATGTGATGTTAACAGCTGATTTATTTACACAATATATGTACCGAGTCCCCACAGTGTAAACAATAAACCTTGACAGTAGCTGAGTTTTGACTGTTGAGCAAGACATGAGAAAACACATCAGGGGAGATAATCTGCTATTAGAACATCTAAAGGGAGACAATTCTTTGAAATATGCCATACTGGATCCAAGTTAACCCAAAATTCTACTACTGCTTCTCCCACTACTACTACTACTACTGCTTCTCCCACTACTACTACTGTTACTAATACTACAACTACTACTACGTATACTACTGTGAATACTACTACGAATACTACTATGAAGACTAAGTACTACTAATACTACTAATACTACCAATACTACAAATATTTATTTACTGTGAATACTACGAATACTACATACAATACATTTCTGGTTCATCTTGTCAAAAGAAAGTATGGCATTAAATTGTATCGACAAATCTGTTGGTATTTAGAGCAGACACACAAGGAAGCTTGTCCAATGTATGCACATACTGACCTCTGCCCACTGTCCTTGGTTCCAGCTTGGACACGGTCCACTGTTACAAATCTTCCTCTTCTCTGGCTTGACTCTTTCATCGCAGCCATCGCTGGGTCCGTTCTCGTCCTGACACACCACCAGCCTCCCTTGGTGCCCCTCGTTACACGTCGTGGAGCACTGCAACACACAACACGCCACTCAGTCATCTGTCTACTTAGAAAATGAAATCTGCATCACCCACTAAGAGAATGAACTTCTTTTGATTTTTTTGGTCAAAATCTTGTATTTGGTTTCATTGTTAACATCACATGAGTGAGTGAGTGAGTTTGATTTTACGCCGCTTTTAGCAATATTCCAGCAATATCACGGCGGGGGACACCAGAAATGGGCTTCACACATTGTACCCATGTCGGGAATCGAACCCTGGTCTTCGGCGTGACGAGCGAACTAGGCTACCCAACCGCCCCTGTTAACATCACAACATTTGAGATCAACATCTTCTTAATTAGTTATCCTCACTATCTCAGTCACGGTGCGCATATCTTGAGCTTGAACATGACACTGATCACAAGGCTTGATTATATGGGTTTGACAATATGACTTTGATCCCATGGATTTTAAAATGTTTGTTTGTTTGATGTTTGTTAAACGTCGCACTCAGCAACATTCCAGCTATATTACAGCAGTCTGTAAATAATCACGTCTGGAACAGACAATCCAGTCATTGAAATCATGGGCATCGATCCACGCAATTGGGATATGATGAAATGCATCAACCTGGCCAACCATCTCGTTAGTAGCCTCTTATGATAAGCATAGTTGCCTGTTACGACAAGCATGGGTTGCTGAAGACTTATTTTAACCCGGATCCTCATGGGTCAATTTCAAAATGAACAACATGATATTCATGAATCATTTGCATGTGGCACAAAGAAAATTAATGTCTTTTGAAATTCCTTGACAAATTCTTTGAATTGTTTTTTGGTTAACATGACAACATTTGAGAGTAACATCCTCATATTCAGTATCATCATTATTTCAGTGACCATCTTCCTATAGCCTTGATGTTTGTGGTATTCTGCAAGGTGCTTACTTACAAGAGGTCCCTGTCAGGTTGATCTTTGATATGGTCACATGATTTTGATCATGTGATTTGAATCACATGGATTTTGAAAAATGACATTGATCACCATTGATATGATCACATGGCTTTAGTCACATGACTTTCACCACAGGGGTTTAATCATGTGACTTTGATCATATAGTTTTGATCATGCGACTTTGATCACATGGGTTTGATCATATGACTTTGATCACATGGGTTTGATCATATGACTTTGATCACATGGGTTTGATCATATGACTTTGATCACATGGGTTTGATCATGTGACTTTGATCATATAATGTTGATGACACATGGGTTTGATGATATAATTTTGATGACATTGGTTTGTTTGTATGACTTTGGTGATGGTCCGCCACGTACCGGTCCCCAGGGTCCGACTCTCCAGTGACTGGTCTTCTCCACCGTGTTGCTGGTGATGACTGCGATGTCCAACTCTTCGATGGAGTGACAGTCGCCCATGTCGCACTTCTTCTTGGCGTCTGGCTTCGAGGTGGCGTCGCACATGTAGTCTGCCATGTGTTTCTGGTTGGAGGTTTCATTGTCAAGGATGATGCATGCGACGTAGCGGGTCTGGACACCGGTGCCGCATGTCACAGGACACTGGAGGGAAGGAGTGGTCAGATTGATCATAATGCAATGTTTTTGTGGGCCAATCCCTAAAAAACACAACTGCAATACTTTAACATAGATTTCATGATGCGTTCATTATGCCATGAAGAGAATCCTCTTAAATCAAGTTATATTTTTTAATATAGCCATCCAAGCATAACAACTGTATTTAATCTATGTTAAACTTACAATGTCGCACATGGGTGAGTTATTACTTTTCGTAATAGAACCCAAAACAACCTTCACCTTCAATGTGACCTTCACCTTTTACATGACCTTCAACACCTGCATGATCTAACCGATCACTTAAACCTTAATAGTTCAGCTTTGTTGATCAATAAAACTGTAAATGAAGACTCATCGACTGACACAACCTGTCCTGATTAACAAGTGTGAACTGTATCCAGGGCCTACTCACAGGTCTCCACTTGCCCTGCCTCCAGATGCCGCATGCCTTGTTGTTGCAGTCCTGCTTGCTGGCGGGGCGGTGGTGCGGGTTGCACATGGTGTTGTCCATGATGTGGCCGCGGTGGTTCATGCAGCTCACGTAGCGATGTTGCAGCCCCGGACCACATGTTGTGGAACACTACAATCAGTACATATGGATATATAAATAAGAAAGTTAAACATAATAGTCTAAATTAATAAGATCACTGTCTCTGTTATAAAAGCATTGTAAACATGATACATTTTCATGTGCTCCAAGATTCGACATTTCACAGTAATTTATGTCTTTTTCAGAAAAGACTTCCTCTGTGGTCTAGTGGATAGAGTGTCAGCCCGGGGAGCAGAAGGTCGGGGGTTCAAACCCCAGCCATTTCATACAAAAAAACATTAAAAGATGGTACTTGTTGTTACCCTGCCTGACTCAGGATAAAGGGGCTAAAACAAGGACTGGTCAGCTCAGAGTATACTGTGTCTGAGTGTAGTATTCATGTTAAACTGGTATCTCAGTGGACTAGTACAAGCAGCCACACACACACACATTGCTATTTAGCTGCAACAACCTTCACTTGAGGTTAAAACTCATTTCACCTTACCTTTTCCAGAAAAAGAAATTTGCCTTGGGTTTTAGATCAAATAAAATTTGTTTACTTGGCATGCTGGGTTCAATAGACACAAATGTGTCATGAAAACAAAAATTGTTCCTCTCCACCTTGAAATGAGTGAGTGAGTGAGTGAGTTGGGTTTAACGTCGCTTTTAACAGTATTCCAGTTATATCACGGCGTGTCAGCTTAATGTGGGAGGAAAGCCCGAAGTGATGCAAGTCTCAGACGTTTACCACTTCGGTGAAACCCACGAGCACGGGTATGGTGCTGACAAACCTAGAAACATAATCGGGGCGAACCGGGATTCGAACCCACAATCATAGGTTTCTGGCGTGCCCAAGGGACACAACTCTGCACAGCGAATTGCAGCGCCTTAGACGACTGGGCCACCCGTGCCCCCCACCTTGAAATGAATGATTGCATGTTTTGAAGCAGTTATGAAAAAAAACATCCTTCCCCCACTGGAATATCTAATGGTAGGCCCCTGAAAGAAGACACAAATTAATCTGTATCATTGTGACATTGAGTCTCTCACCTCCGTCCAGATGCCGAACCTCCAGTGTGAGTTGAGGAGGTAGGAAGGCGTGGTGGGTGTGGTGGGCGGGGACAGGGTGGGGCATTGCCCAATGTAACACTGGCTCTTATCTCGGTGTCGCTTGCTGGCATCACACACTGCATCCTCCACAATGTTGCCATTGAAGGTCCGGCAGATGACCGTCCGCATCTTCTCTCCCACACCGCATGTGACCGAACACTGAAATAATATTCATCATCATAACCACAGTGTTCTTATCACGAAAGTTATTCAGAGATACATGGACTAAAAAGTGGGAAAAAATAATATGAAAAGCATTCATTTTTACAGCATTATGCAAATTCATATGTTTAAATGGTCAATGATTCGATAAAGACATTTTCGTTCATCATCTATCTAAGGTCATCCATGAATGAAAGGGAGGTAACTCTCTTTCCCCAGCTCAGCTTCAATATATTCAGGTTTTGGGCCCTTATGACTTTGGTGAAACCCACAATCTCTTTCTTATGTTCTACCATCCAGGAATTACTAATATAAAACCATCAACCAAGAAACAAAGAAGTTCTTGGTGTAAAAGCCTACCGGTCCCCAGCCGCCAGCGTACCACTCCGGACAAGCCTCTAGGTTGCACTCCTTCTTGGCCTCGGGGCGGTCCTTCTTGTCACACAGGCGCTCCTCCACCTGATCCTCGCCCCGCCCACACCACACCTCACGGTGCCGCTTGCCATGCCCACAGCTCACAGAACACTGCCGGAACACAACAGATTATTATCATAAACACTGCCAGAACATAACAGATTATTATCATAAACACTGCGAACATAATAGATTATTATCATAAACACTGCCAGAACATAATAGATTATTATCATAAACACTGCGAACATAATAGATTATTATCATAAACACTGCAGGAACATAACAGATTATTATCATAAACACTGCCAGAACATAACAGATTATCATCATAAACACTGCCAGAACATAAAACATAAAAATTTAATTTAACATCTAATGATAAATTTGTTGTATTTTACATAAGCAGGGTTTACAGGATTTTACAATCTGACCTATACTGTACACCCTCAAGTTCTGTCTTAGGGCACGCAAGACCATCTCAAACTCATGACGTGACATGGCATCATTACATGCCTCCCACTACAAAGATCGTATTTCTCCACATTTGTGAAATACAAAAACAGAATCCTTTGTTGCTAAATACAAAAATCTTAATTTTACCATTCCAATATATCAACATTCCTTGATGACCATTGCACATACATGTATATCCTTAAATGAATAAGTTCATTCAATAAAATAATTGTCAAGATCCTAAACATTTACAAAACCCAACCAACAGTTTCCAGAATCCAACCAACAGTTTCCAGTATCCAACCAACAGTTTCCAGAATCCAACCAACAGTTTCCAGAATCCAACCAACAGTTTCCAGAATCCAACCAACAGTTTCCAGTATCCAACCAACAGTTTCCACAACCCAACCAACAGTTTCCACAACCCAACCAACAGTTTCCAGAATCCAACCAACAGTTTCCAGAATCCAACCAACAGTTTCCAGAATCCAACCAACAGTTTCCAGAATCCAACCAACAGTGTCAAGAATCCAACCAATAGTTTCAAGGACCCAACCAACAGTTTCCAGAATCCAACCAATAGTTTCAAGGACCCAACCAACAGTTTCCAGAATCCAATCAACAGTGTACAGGACCCATTCACTCACCCCAGTCCAAGCTCCCGACCTCCACTGGGCACAGGGTACCTCGTTACAGGACTGAATGAGGGGTTCCTTGTGCTTGTCTTCGCAGTGACGGTTGTCCACCACATGCGCATCCTCATTAATACACTGAGCTTCCCGCGTCTGATTACCGCCTCCGCAAGTCCTGGTACACTGAAAATACAAATCAACAACATTGCATTGCTCCTAAAGTTTGTACTCTAGGCACTGTGGGACAATATGGTCACTCTTGTATCCAGATTTCTGGCTAAACACAGAAACAGGACAATGTTCCCTGGACATTGTACAGGGCACAATTAGACGTTATCAGTTAAAAGATGTGCTATTATTACCTAGCATCCTAACAATTAATGTTTGCAAGATGCTTTTCAGAATGAGACATAGCAAATTGCTTCAAATTGTCTATCATAAGCATTGCCAAACTATTGATAATTAAAAGCATAGTAAAAATCACTACCTATATATAGGGCTTCAACGGGTCCAAAAATAAGGACTCGAGTACCGGAGGGATAAGACTCGAGTACCCGCAATTATACATCTGTTCAATAAAATTGGCAATTATCCTATCGTATACAAAATGAAAGAGTCACAATGACATCGTAGATCACTGAGAAAACCAATGTGATCGCGTATCAAATAAAATACCCTTGAAATTTGTATGCTGATTCCCTGAAGCTTCATTGAAATAAGAATTGTCAGTTTGGAAAGGAAATCGTTTACATCTCAATGTAACACAGAGTGAAAAAATATTGCGCACGTAATTGTCATGTGATGAATGTTGCGATTGGTGATTGGCTAGATTTTGGCGGGCTGGCTTCTTAAGTATACCTTAAATGATAAATAAGATCATTTGATGCCAGTGCCAAAGGAAATTGTCAATAAATGACAAAATACAGATTATAAGTTAAAAGTAACATTTTCAATGTTATCACAAATTCACAAGTCAGTATTTACCTTTTTTTTAATTGAAAACAAAACATTGAAAGATTACTAGGCTTGTAAATAGTTGACTTCTATAAGACGTTTTCTCGACATTTGAAGAGATAATTAGAATGAGATACAGTAACACAATATTAATATTCAATAAAGTGATGTCCAGTTATAAATATCTTATGAAAATATTGAATTAATAATGATTAACGTTACGACGCTAATTTAGAATGAATAGGTCTAGTCCTTGTGACAGTTTAATAGTTTCGTAAAACATCCCTTTTAAACAAGAAATAAAGTACTTTTTTAAACCAGGAAATATCCTTATGAAATGGTTGTAAATAAATGTATTGTTACAAAAAATAACTAAAAGAAAAGCTATTGACATTTTTATTTCATTTAATTGATTACTCATGAAAAAGAAAGTTACATAAAGACATGTTTTTGTCAACTTATAGAAAGTCGACCAAATTAGAGTTATCTCCCTTGGTCGAGTGCTCAAGTCCTTCAAACTGAACTTGAATCCCGAGTACTCGAGTACTCTTTGAAGCCCTACCCATATACAGGCCTCACTCACAGGAGGAATTTGCATATGATAAATATGTCCATGCTATTTAACTATGCTGCACATTTCGGCATATTTCTGCAGTATAGATCATTAGCTACAATTAATGGTGCTATCAAGGCTGCAGATTTTATGCATAGCATAGTTTATTTAGTCAATCCTTACACAAAATAAGGTCTCAGCCTGACCTTGGGCCAATAGGCATAGTTCCACATGGTAGCAGAACACCTCAACTCAACTTGGACCAATAGGCATAGTTCCACATAATAACAGAACACTTTAACTCACCTTGGACCAATAGGCATACTTTCACATGGTAGCAGAACACCTCAACTCACCTTGGACCAAAAGGCGTAGTTCCACATGGTAGCAGTACACCTCAACTCACCTTGGACCAATAGGCGTAGTTCCACATGGTAGCAGAACACTTTAACTCACCTTGGACTGATAGGCATAGTTCCACATGGTAGCAGTACACCTCAACTCACCTTGGACCAATAGGCGTAGTTCCACATGGTAGCAGTACACCTCAACTCACCTTGGACTGATAGGCATAGTTCCACATGGTAGCAGAACACTTCAACTCACCTTGGACCAATAGGCATAGTTCCACATGGTAGTAGAACACTTCCCTTCACACATGACACTGGGGTGGGGTTTGGCGCCGAGATGGCGACAGTGCCGGTCATCAACAGTTAGGCTGGTCTTGTCCGTCTCCTTCACACAGTGAACAGTCCTGATCTTGATCCCCTTCCCACAGTGAACCGAGCACTCCGTCTCTCGCATAATCTTCCATCTGAAGGAGTAGATGTACCGGTAACATTGAGCATGACAGAAACCAACTGGGTAGGAATTAACAGTTAAATTTGTGCAATACAAAATATAAAGCATAAAAAAATAATTCTTAACTGTAACTGTAACTTAAAACCGTAACTTGTTAATAACTAACTAATTACATTCATTAAGTGATATACTATTCCCTGAGGAAAGTTAATTCTAGTGCTTCTTACCTTATAATAATAAACTTCCTGAACTTTAATTGAACAAGCCTTTATTTTTTCCTCATTAAACTGACTGACCCAAATAAATAGAATGATTGCGCTACACCAACAGAATCTCACCCAAGTGTCTTTTGATATCTAATATATCCAACATCATTCTTCCAAACTTTTTCAGTTTGTTAACAGTAATAAGCAGTGTCTTACGTGTAAAAAGTACTACCAACAGCTTCAGTAGCAGAGCCGTTAGTGATGTCATTTGATTGTGATGCCATGGTAACCAATGACTGAGTGAGTGAGTTGGGTTTAATGCCGCTTTTAACATTATTCCAGTCATATCACGGCATGTCAGCTTAATGTGGGAGGAAAGCCCGAAGTGAGGCAGGTCTCAGATGTTTACCACTTCAGTGCAATCCACGAGCACAGGTATGGTGCTGACAAATCTAGAAACATAATCGAGGCTAACCGCGATTTGAACCCACAATCATAGGTTTCTGGCGTGCCCAAGGGACACAACTCTGCACAACGAATCTCGGCGCCTTAGACGACTGGGCCACCCGTGCCCCATGGTAACAAATGATGTCACAATGGTCTGCAAAGCATTGTGATGCAATTTCATTGCAACGATATCTAGACAATGTAGATATGACCCAAGCAATATCTCTTTCTCTTGGCTCAAGCTAAGTGGGAAGCAAAAAGTATATATCCTTACACTATAAAATGAAAAAAAGTGTGGACCACCTGGGTTGTTGACGATGCCAGAAATCGCATCCTATAGGTATACAATTTGAGACCCCTATGTGCTCAAAAATATATAGACCAGGTAAACCCTGGGTTTCCGTACCTCAAGTAGCAGTCCATGTTGCAAGAGTCGCGGAGTCGCGGGGGTTTCACCTTCCCCACACAGTGCTTGTTGGACACCATCAGGAAGTCATTCTCCCTGATACACACGATCTTCCTCTTCCTCAGACCTGCAACATGAGTAGTTACACAGATTGGTACAAGTAACATACAGTTTCTACCAGTCATGTTTTCAATCAATACTTCACAGGCTTGTGTGCCCTTGAATTCTTCACAAAAACAAATGGGTCACTTTTTAGAAATTTAAGTTTTAATTTGCAGTAATTTTGATTAGACCTTTCCCTGCTTCCTTTCTATTACTTTTCAATTTGTAATGTATCCTGGTGAATATTTAATCAGGTGCTTGTGCTAGTTACCTTACAACTCCGATTATGATTCTAGATGTGTCGTCTTCATGGTATTTATCATATTGGTGAGAAAGGGTCCTAAGATTGTATCATATTCCCCATTCCCAATTTTATGTAAGATTTTTTCATAACTTACACCCCACCCCCTTTCAATAATACCATGTCCTTTTTTCAAGGCCCCGCCCCACCCCCTCCCAATTAGTTTGGTGACCCCCTCTTTCACTGTCAGTTTTTCATGAACCCTCCCTCCACCAATGTATACATATATATTCAAGGGTCATGTAGAAACATAGTCTATATGCAAACCTGTGAAGTATTGATGATGGCTCTTACAAAAGAAAGCAGTTTCCAAAATGCTCTAACATGAAGCGTTTTGACATATGATAAGCAACACCTCTGCATTTGATTTGTAATTTGTAAAAAAACATGCCAGTGTCGAAACGAATAAAAAAAATAAAATTATCACTCATATGAACACTCTAATAACTGAAATTAACTTAAACCAAGTTTTCTTCATTTTATATTTATGTAGAACTACTTCGCCAAAAACAGCCCCAAATCAGTCCTCACCCTGGCAGAGCTGACTACATCGCTTCCACATGCCCACGTTGTCCCAGCGGAACTTGGTGTCCTTCCCTGCGGAGATGGTGTAGGTGTAGCGCACGTCGGGGGGCAGGAGGGACCCCACAGACAGCACCTGGCACAAGCAGACAGGGGAGATAACAGCATGGAAACACGATGTCATAGGACTTGGTGAAACGTATTGTATTCTAACTATTGTGGAGTAGGGGAGGTAACTCATGGTTAATCTAAGTCTCATTCCAAGGATCCAGCCCATCACAAATGGCTATATCACATTTATATATCACAGCAATACCACAGCTGCATCAACATGAACTATTTCGTCGAAATGAAATAAATATTGGTTGAAACAAAAATAAATATATACCATAAACCGTCTATAAAGCGACCCCATGCATAAGAGTTGTCCCCTGTACAAGCCTTCAAAATCAATGCTAATTTATATACCCTGCCTATTAAGCGAATCAGAATGAAGCACGTCACCAACACATACACACTTCCTACATCTGCAATAAAAACGTGTTTGTCTTCCACAGAAAAAAATTACATCGTATCCCTTCAGCACATTCAGGTTTAATGAACAGATCATTATTAAAAAAACCGATCTAATTCTAGGTATGAAAAACTCGCCTGGTACAAAACTATATACGGTAATATATATAAGAATATAAAATTGCAAAAAAATATTTTCTTTTCAAGATTCCAAGAAAGAAAGATCTTCAGTCAAGTAATATGTGTACTATAATTAATATGCAGCTCAAGCCAAGACTGAAGTAGGGCCACCTTGTGGTTAAAGGTTTTGTTTTGTTTGTTTGTTGTTTAATGCCGCACTCAGCAATATTCCAGCTATATGACGGCGATCTGTAAATAATCGAGTCTGAACCAGACAATCCAGTGATTGACATCATTCGCATCGATCCACGCAATTTGAATCGATGACATGCATCAACCAAGTCAGCGAGCCTAACCACCTGATCCCGTTAGTCACCTTTTACGACAAGCATGCCAAAGTTAAAGTGTCACACCTGAGGCCTAGGTTCGATTCCCCAGGTATAATGTGTGAAGCTCATGTCTGGCAACCACCGCCATAACATTGCCAGCATCCAGCAATAATATTGCTGGCATAAATAGCCAATGATATTGCTGGCACATAATAGGTGCGCAAAACGTCTCTCTCTCTCTGTCTCTCTCTCTTATTGAAGCACATTTAGCTCCAAGGTGATCACAGTGTCACACCTAAGGCTTAGGTACGTTCCCTAGGTATAATGTGTGAAGCCCATTTCTGGCATCAACTGCAATAATAATGCTGTCATAAATCGCCATAATATCGCTGGCACATAAAAGCTGCACAAAACGTCTCTCTCTCTCACTGAAGCACATTTACCTCCAAGGTGATCACAATGTCACACCTAAGGCTTAGGTACGATTCCCTAGGTATAATGTGTGAAGCACATTTCTGACATCCACCACCATGACATTGCTGCCATCCACCACAATATTGTTGGCATGTTGCTAACAGCTGCATCAAACGGCACTTCCTCCCAGAAGTCTAATTACCTCCACAGTGATATCCTCTCCGATCATGCGCGTGGAGTTGATTCTCTCCACGGGGACATTGGCGCCGCTGTATTCTAGGTAGCCATTCTGTACCTTAATGCTCCACTTCTGGGTGCGGACAATGTGGTCGCCGTTCAGGATGTATTCTCCTTTGCTGTTCCTGAGAGCTGCAAAAATATTTTAAATATAATCACTTTGAATTCTAATTGTAGTTGTGTATCAGTATTAATCGATGCTTTCTCAGAGGCTGATATTTGCCCCAAGTCTAAAAAAATGTAAACTTGACTGGTATTTATTAAGATATCTCACATTGCAATTGACAGTTGTTGTGAGCTTCGGAAGTATTAATTTAGGATTTTGTTGTCGTATTGAAAGAAAAGATATATTGTTTTTGAGACAGTCATAAGTGTGTTTCCCCAAATACTTTACAAATTTATGGATTTGGAATTGCCCTTTTGAAATAGAATTTTCCCATTGGTGCCAGACAGTGAGGTTTTTATTGGAGAAAGAATTTTTTTTTTTACTCAACAACCAAAAAACAAAATACCGTATTCGACACAATAAGCGCCGAGGGCGTTCTCAAAATTAGGAATAGGGGGCACTTATTAGAATATTATTTTGGTGAAAGATTGTAAATTTCGTAGTTTATGCTGACAGCCTGAAATGTTTATATACAGCAGATATATTTTTCCAGAATTTTATTTCCCATAATCAAGGTTGCATATAACACACGTATCATACACGAATAAATAAGTCTTGTGTACATTGATCAATCGGAAGGGGTGCTAATTTGGATTTCACTAGCCAATATATTAGCAAATATCTCAGTGGGCGCTTATTAGACGGGGCGCTTATTACGTCGAATACAGTACTCACATTACCACAGCTTCAGAAGTTCACCTTAATTCTGATATAAAACACACATGAGAAACTAGATATTTTGTACAAATGACAAAATATCCAATAATAATCATTTTTGTTTTAGCTCTTTGAAGCACAATATTTTGTGACATCCTCCTTGAATGACCTTCTATTTTGTTGCCAATGTTGACAAAAGAAAAAGGATTGAAATTTCCCTGGTATCTAAGGATTGAAATTCTTAGTCGTGCTACTGGAGAACTCACACAGATAGTTCCAGTCGTTGCTTGTGTTCTGGTAGCCATGCTGCAGGATCTCGATGTTGGTCGCCCCGCTCGGGACTGTGATCACCTTGTTGTAGCCTACAAGGAACATGCTGATGATGAATTCCACTGTCAGTGATGGGTATTGGCCTGAATCTCGTATTGCAATGTTCCAGGTATTGCAATAAAGTTTATTTGTTGTTTTACGTCGTACTAATCAATATTCCAGCTATATGACGGCGGTCTGTCAATAATCGAGTCTGGACCAGACAATCCAGTCATTGATATCATGAGCATCGATCCATGTAATTGGGATCGATGACATGCATCAACCAAGTCAACGAGCCTGACCACCTGATCTCGTTAATCACCTCTTACGACAAGCATAGTCGCCTTTTACGGCAAGCATGGGTTGCTGAAGACCTATTCTACCCCGGATCTTCACGGGTCCTATTGCAATAAAGACTCATGAATTGCAATATACCACTATATTCCATGCGTTCTTTCACATATAAGTTGTTATGAACGAAAGTATATATAGACCAAAACATTGATCTTCCCCTTCACAACTGCATATGCCATTTTGTTGGATGTTGCTATGGTCATAACAACAATAACAACAATAATAATGTAGGGTACATATTTTTCGCTAGCCTCCATACACTCGGTGCATGCTCAAAGCGCTACATTATAACCCCGCTCATTGTGCACTTGATTTTCATTCTCAGCTCCCTAGGGAGTATACAACCCAAGTTGCCTGTGGGGCGCTAGAAGATTAACAGTCACATTATGTACCAGAAGCTGGTCCAGAATAGTTTTTGCTTTTTCGACCACAGGAATCAAGTTACTTATTTCTAAATTTCTTAATTTTATTTTGACTTTTCACTTATGTAAGCTTTGCCAACAAGACATAAATATGCATGATTTTGAAACACAAAATGTCTTTTCCAAACAACTGTGTGTGAGCTACAAGAGTTACTTCCCTTACACCATGTAATGTATCCATCTATTTTTGACAAAATCGGAAGGGTTTCATATCATACTCAGAATACTGCAGCTAATACACATAGACATAGACCTACATGGTTTTGATGGGTCTCGACTAAGCAATGGCCATTTATTCTGGCCAAGTAAAACCTTCGCAACTACTATAGGTCATTATGGAAAACATGATCTACGCTGCACATTTCAGAGTTTAAAAAAAGATTAGAATAGCAGTTGTTTATGATTCATAGTGTAAAAAAAAATTATCGTGTATTATGCGCTTTAAAAAACCACATCGTATCCCTTCAGTGAAATAAGGTGAACAAACAGGTAAAACAAACTTGGTCAATAAAAATATGAAATTTGATGTAACACATCACTAGACACTATGATTGTGATACCGATCACTTGACGCATGATTTCACAGAAATTAATGTAAACATTATTAAATTAAATTTGGAATAAAATTAATAAAATATATTACAAACCTAAGTCCAGATAAACAATGAACACCTTTTTATAACCAAATAGTATAATAGTGGGATTAAATTGCGTACTTCAGTCCGGATTTGTTGACTGGTATTTCTGGTGTTACGTGATCGCAGTGATCAGCTGATAATGTTTTTTGAGATGGGGAAAACATGTTGTCATATGGATAACTTGATATATCAAAACTGTAAGTAAATTTTGGGAGCCATGCTTTACCGCACACTATAACCTAGTTAGCGCTATATTGAAGAGCGCAATCATGGCAATAACGAGGGAACATTGTACATAAAATTCTTCTGCCCTGAAGCTAAAGTAGAACATGTATCTTTTTTTAATTTGACATGAGTTTACAACAGAAAAAAAGGACCTACACTAAAAGATTTTATTTCATCATTGACATTTTCATGGTCATGAGAGAGGAAGAGTGGAACCGTGTCTGTGTTCAGTTCAGAAAGCATAGTTCCTCCTACCATATTTGGCGTTGTTGAAACGTCCCCTTTCAGACTTGCAGGAGGAGTTGTCGCCACCACAGACGCCGCACCGATCTCGTTTCATGTGGGAACCAAGACGATTGTCACAGCCAGCTCTCTGAAACAGAACAAGTGTTCTCTGTAAAGTCAGAGTGACACATTTCCATGTAGTTATTCCCTTGATCAAAGGCTACCCTGGGTTTTATGAAGTAGAAGCAGCCATCAAATTTCCATTTTTAGGATTCAAACCATGGACCTTCTTATCCGAGGTCGGACGCCTTGTCCACATGGCAAAACAGGTTTACCCCATCAGCAAGCTGACAAGGTAAAGATGTCATCTGTGGGATGACTCCACACCTTGTTACATACTCCCTCGTCAACAGACGGCACCTCCCAGGTGACCCAATAAATGTATCATATCATTGCAGAAGGCACAAAGGATGAATTTGCAAATTCAACTCCCAAATGAGTGAGGTGAAATGGGGTTTAACGTCACATCCAAGATTATTGCACTTATATAGCGACATGCATGTACGTGTGTGTGTGTGTGTCTGCTTGTACTAGTCCGGACTGATGCCGATTTATAGTGCTAGCTAGCTCACTGAGATACCATGCCGCAGTTTAACATGAATACCCCACTCAGACACAGTATACTGACTCCCAGCCGACCAGTCCTTGTTTTAGCCCCTTAATGACGAGCGCCAGACAGGGTAACAACAAGTACCATCTTTTAACGTCTTTTGGTATGACGCGGCTGGGGATCGAACCCTGGACCTTCCACTCTCTGGGCAGACGCTCTACCACTAGACCACGGAGGCGGTCTCCAAATGAGTGAGTGACTGTAATTTAACCCACGTCTGCATTCTTCCAGCTTTATGATTACAGCCGGGGGGGCGCGGTGGCCCAGTTGTCTAAGGCGCCGCGATTCGCTGTGCAGAGTTGCGTCCCTTGGGCACGCCAGAAACCTATGATTGTGGGTTTGAATCCCGGTTCGCCCCGATTATGTTTCTAGATTTGTCAGCACCATACCCGTGCTCGTGGGTTTCACCGAAGTGGTAAACGTCTGAGACCTGCCTCACTTTGGGCTTTCCTCCCACATTAAGCTGTCACGCTGTGATATAACTGTAATACTGTTAAAAGCGGCGTTAAGCCCAACTCACTAACTCACTCACTCACTCACTCACTCACTATGATTACAGCCTGTATTTATTCAATTTGGACACACCAGAAACCTACAATTGTGGTTTCGAATCCTGGTTCGCACTGACTATGTTACTAGGTTTGTCAGCACCATACTGGTGCTCGTGGGTTTCACAGAAGTGGTAAACGTCCGAGACCTGCCTCACTTCGGGCTTTCCTCCCACATTGAGCTGACACACCGTGATTGATTGGAATAACGTTAAAAGCGGCATTAAACCAAACTCACTCACTCATTCAAATATGGAAACGGCAAACATGTAAGACCTGCATCCAACAATTTCCTCCGACATTAAGCATGCCATGGTATAACTGGAATAGTGTTCAAAGCGGCGCTAAACCCAAGTCACTCACTCACTCAAATATGGACCCGGCAAACCCCTGACTAAAAGCATGAGCAAACAACCCACAATTAAATTGTTTCTAACCTACTTCTCTCCCTTGATGATTAGAATTCCATAGTTATCTCCCCTTGTCAGTATTCGAGTTCAAATCATTGTTGAGTCACAAACCAATTAACTTGTCACGTTAACATTGATCAGAAATGGTTTGTTTGTGCAGGTTTTAAAGTTTTGTAAAAACAAATTCAAAAGATACAAATTTCCTAAAAGGCCATCTTGTTATTCCAACACGTAACCTGAGAATCAACCTTATGTACAACATCAAAGGCACCTTTATTTATTATTGAAGTATTCGATTCTTAATGATCCAACGTCTAAAATAAATTTGCAATGAGAATCTTAAGTATTTATCTGCAGAGTGGAATGAAATAACAATGAAAACCAACATTCCAAGCCAGAAATCTGTGACAAACTATGAATTGTATATTGTTACATTTCCCTACAATACCAGCATGGCTGACTTACCCTGCACTTGCCATTGACACAGATGTCGTCCGTGTCAGGCCGACACTTGGTCCCGTCGATCACTGTGTCGGCCAACTGGTAGAACGACGACGTGGACTCCGCCTGGCAGTACAGTTTACAGGCATCCTTCATCTGGACTGAAACATTGTGGTCTTGTTACGAACATCTAAGCAGGGGACTTAGGGATCTTTTATTGACACAAATGCTTGTCAAAGTTTCCTAATAGATTTGTTAACACAAACATCAATCAGAAGGGTTTTAATGATATTTTGCAGTGGCATGATCGGAAATTCTTTTTTGGGATTTTTTTGTTAATTTGTGTTTGTCATCACACATTCTTCTGTCATGTGTTTTTGTGACTCTCTCTCCAAACTGCTTCTCTCTCCTTAGTGACGGTCTCTCCTGAATGACTCTCATGCATCCCCGCTCTCCTGTATCTCCTGACTCTCTCCTCCACTAGCTCTTTTCTCTGACCCACACCTGCCTCTCTCCCCCCCCTCTCCTCTGACTGATGTTCCCCCTTCTGCCCTTCTCCTTGGCTTTCTCATCTGACTCTCTCATCTGACCCTCTCACCTGACTCCCTCATCTGACTCCCTCATCTGACTCCCTCATCTGACTCCCTCGTCTGACTCTCTCATCTGACTCCCTCATCTGACTCCCTCATCTGACTCTCTCATCTGACTCCCTCATCTGACTCTCTCATCTGACTCCCTCATCTGACTCCCTCATCTGACTCCCTCGTCTGACTCTCTCATCTGACTCCCTCATCTGACTCTCTCATCTGACTCCCTCATCTGACTCCCTCATCTGACTCCCTCGTCTGACTCTCTCATCTGACTCCCTCATCTGACTCCCTCGTCTGACTCTCTCATCTGACTCCCTCATCTGACTCTCTCATCTGACTCCCTCATCTGATTCCCTCATCTGACTCCCTCATCTGACTCTCTCCGCTCCTTCTGGTATCTCTCGTCACGCCGAAGACCTGGGTTCGATTCCCGACATGGGCATAATGTGTGAAGCCCATTTCTGGTGTCCCCCGGCGTAAAACCATACTCACTCACTCACTCTGGTATCTCTCCAAAACAACATATTTGACCGTCCCTGAGCAAAACTTTATTTTTCTAAAATCACCACCATATCTGACAAATAACAACAAGGCTTTCATGTTTTAAAATCCAACCAACTCAAAGAAGGGGACATGCAATGGTAATGTAGCTCACTTGGATATGACACCGACAGTTTTAAATGTCAACAAAGACAGACACTTACCAAGAGCTGCTGTCAGCATTAATATTCAAACACTTTCTACAAAACCACAGAAGACTAAAAACTAATAATTGTAACTTCTGATTACAATATAAAATCTGTCTTACCTCCTGCGTATTTGGGCACCCATTTAACATTCGCAGGTAGGCCATCGATATGATACCTGTTGCTGAAGTTGGAGCACTGCTCCTCCCTGAAGTCAAGCTTACTGGGAGGGCATATCTGAAATTGAGCATTGAAATTATTGTTATTAAGTAAGAAATTATCCCCTGACAGGATTAATAAATAACATATAGCCTGGTGCTCGTCATTCTCACATATCTTACAATATACGTCATTCCCCAAAATAAGGGAATTTTGCCATGTGGCAATTGTTACTATTCAATTTATACTGAACCAAAAACATCTCTCCCTGATAATCAGTTGTCTAAAAATCAAATTGAATTGATCCCTAACTACAAATACTGACTTTGGTATTGCAAGACCGGTACTTGATCCTCTTTCCCAGGCAGTACTTGCCGCCATTGTCGGGCCTGAAACATGGAAAGGTCAGCTTGACCTAGGTGCAAGACGAACGTAACAAACCACTTGTACCCATCTCCCTGATATAAGTTCCAATCTGACTCAATAATTGAGTTAAATGATACAATCTGTCTGAATTTTAACACTAGGGTGTTAATGGCTTCTCCATGAGATTTCAAGCTGCGTGTTTGTTCCGATTTGGAGTGAATGCATTACATTAGTTTCCCTGCTGCCAAATCTGATTGTATGGGTGAACAGCCTCTAGAATGACTCTACTCTAGATAACATGGGAGCAGGATGCATGGAGAGCTTCCAGTGTATTTTACTGGAGGGGGAAATTGTGATTTTATTGATTATGTCTGTAGGCCTACATTGCATCAGCTATAGCTAATGGTGCATGTTATACTGAGCATTGTCACATTGTTACTGTGACTAATTGAATGTTGTTACATTGTAACAGTGACTTACTGAGGGTTGTTACAGTGACTTACTGAAGGTTGTTACATTGTTACAGTGACTTACTGAGGGTTGTTACAGTGACTTACTGAGCATTGTTACATTGTTACTGTGACTTACTGAGGGTTGTTACATTGTTACTGTGACTAACTGAGGGTTGTTACAGTGACTTACTGGGCATTGTTACATTGTTACTGTGACTAACTGAGGGTTGTTACAGTGACTTACTGAGCATTGTTACATTGTTACTGTGACTAACTGAGGGTTGTTACAGTGACTTACTGAAGGTTGGTGCATTGTTACTGTGACTTACTGAAGGTTGTTACTGTGACTTACTGAGGGTTGTTACATTGTTACTGTGACTAACTGAGGGTTGTTACAGTGACTTACTGAGCATTGTTACATTGTTACTGTGACTTACTGAGCATTGTTACATTGTTACTGTGACTTACTGAAGGTTGTTACTGTGACTTACTGAGCATTGTTACATTGTTACTGTGACTAACTGAGGGTTGTTACAGTGACTTACTGAGCATTGTTACATTGTTACTGTGACTTACTGAGCATTGTTACATTGTTACTGTGACTAACTGAGGGTTGTTACAGTGACTTACTGAAGGTTGGTACATTGTTACTGTGACTTACTGAAGGTTGTTACTGTGACTTACTGAGGGTTGTTACATTGTTACTGTGACTAACTGAGGGTTGTTACAGTGACTTACTGAAGGTTGTTACATTGTTACAGTGACTTACTGAGGGTTGTTACAGTGACTTACTGAGCATTGTTACATTGTTACTGTGACTTACTGAGCATTGTCACATTGTTACTGTGACTAACTGAGGGTTGTTACAGTGACTTACTGAGCATTGTTACATTGTTACAGTGACTAACTGAGGGTTGTTACAGTGACTTACTGAGCATTGTTACATTGTTACAGTGACTTGCTGAGCATTGTTACATTGTTACTGTGACTAACTGAGGGTTGTTACAGTGACTTATTGAGCATTGTTACATTGTTACTGTGACTTACTGAGGGTTGTTACATTGTTACTGTTACTAACTGAGGGTTGTTACATTGTTACTGTGACTTACTGAAGGTTGTTACATTGTTACAGTGACTTACTGAGGGTTGTTACAGTGACTTACTGAGCATTGTTACATTGTTACTGTGACTTACTGAGCATTGTTACATTGTTACTGTGACTAACTGAGGGTTGTTACATTGAGTTACTGAAGGTTGGTACATTGTTACTGTGACTTGCTGAAGGTTGTTACTGTGACTTACTGAGGGTTGTTACATTGTTACTGTGACTAACTGAGGGTTGTTACAGTGACTTACTGAAGGTTGTTACATTGTTACAGTGACTTACTGAGGGTTGTTACAGTGACTTACTGAGCATTGTTACATTGTTACTGTGACTAACTGAGGGTTGTTACAGTGACTTACTGAGCATTGTTACATTGTTACTGTGACTTACTGAGCATTGTTACATTGTTACTGTGACTAACTGAGGGTTGTTACAGTGACTTACTGAGCATTGTTACATTGTTACAGTGACTTGCTGAGCATTGTTACATTGTTACTGTGACTAACTGAGGGTTGTTACAGTGACTTACTGAGCATTGTTACATTGTTACTGTGACTAACTGAGGGTTGTTACAGTGACTTACTGAGCATTGTTACATTGTTACTGTGACTTACTGAGCATTGTTACATTGTTACTGTGACTAACTGAGGGTTGTTACAGTGACTTACTGAAGGTTGGTACATTGTTACTGTGACTTACTGAAGGTTGTTACTGTGACTTACTGAGGGTTGTTACATTGTTACTGTGACTAACTGAGGGTTGTTACAGTGACTTACTGAAGGTTGTTACATTGTTACAGTGACTTATTGAGGATTGTTACATTGTTACTGTGACTTACTGAATGTTGTTACATTGCTACTGTGACTTACTGAGGGTTGTTACAGTGACTTACTAAGCATTGTTACATTGTTACTGTGACTTACTGAGGGTTGTTACAGTGACTTACTGAAGGTTGTTACATTGTTACAGTGACTTACTGAGGGTTGTTACAGTGACTTACTGAAGTTTGTTACATTGTTACTGTGACTTACTGAGGGTTGTTACAGTGACTTACTGAAGGTTGTTACATTGCTACTGTGACTTACTGAGGGTTGTTACAGTGACTTACTGAAGGTTGTTACATTGCTACTGTGACTTACTGAGGGTTGTTACAGTGACTTACTAAGCATTGTTACATTGTTACTGTGACTTACTGAGGGTTGTAACAGTGACTTACTGAAGGTTGTTACATTGTTACAGTGACTTACTGAGCATTGTAACATTGTTACTGTGACTTACTGAGGGTTGTTACAGTGACTTACTGAAGTTTGTTACATTGTTAATGTGACTTACTGAGGGTTGTTACAGTGACTTACTGAAGGTTGTTACATTGCTACTGTGACTTACTGAGGGTTGTTACAGTGACTGAGCATTGTTACATTGTTACTGTGACTTACTGAGGGTTGTTACAGTGACTTACTGAAGTTTGTTACATTGTTACTGTGACTTGCTGAGGGTTGTTACATTGTTACTATGACTAACTGAATGTTGTTACAGTAATGTACTGCAGGTTGTTACAGTGTTGTTACAGTAATGTACTGCAGGTTGTGACAGTGTTACAGTGACTTACTGAATGTTGTTAGTGGTACAGTGACTTACTGAATGTTGTTACAGTGACTTACTGAATGTTGTTACATTGTTACAGTGACTTTCTGAACGTTGTTACAGTGTTACAGTGACTTACTGAATGTTGTAACATTGTTAGTGACTTTCTGATTGTTGTTACAGTGTTACAGTGACTTTCTGAATGTTGTTACAGTGACTTTCTGAATGTTGTTACAGTGTAACAGTGACTTTCTGAATGTTGTTTCATTGTTACTGTGACATACTGAATGTTGTTACAGTGTTACAGTGACTTTCTGAATGTTGTTACAGTGTGACAGTGACTTACTGAATGTTGTTACATTGTTACAGTGACTTTCTGAATGTTGTGACATTGTCTTTCTGAATGTTGTTACAGTTAAACAGTGACTTACTGAATGTTGTTACAGTGTTACAGTGACTTTCTCAATGTTGTTACAGTGTAACAGTGACTTTCTGAATGTTGTTACATTGTTACTGTGACTTACTGAATGTTGTTACAGTGTTACAGTGACTTTCTGAATGTTGTTACAGTGTTACAGCGACTAATAGAATTTTGTTACAATGTTACAGTGACTGAAGGTTTTTACATTGTTACAGTGACTTACTGAAGGTTGTTACATGGTTACAGTGACTTACTGAGGGTTGTTACATTGTTACATTGACTTACTGAAGGTTGTTACATTGTTACAGTGACCTACTGAGGGTTGTTACAGTGACTTACTGAACATTGTTACATTGTTAATGTGACTTACTGAGGGTTGTAACAGTGACTTACTGAAGGTTGTTACATTGTTACAGTGACTTACTGAGCATTGTTACATTGTTACTGTGACTTACTGAATGTTGTTACATTGTAACAGTGACTTACTGAGGGTTGTTACAGTGACTTACTGAGGGTTGTTACAGTGACCGAGCATTGTTACATTGTTACAGTGACTTACTGAAGGTTGTTACATGGTTACAGTGACTTACTGAGGGTTGTTACATTGTTACAGTGACTTACTGAGGGTTGTTACATGGTTACAGTGACTTACTGAGGGTTGTTACATTGTTACAGTGACTTACTGAAGGTTGTTACATTGTTACAGTGACTTACTGAGGGTTGTTACAGTGACTTACTGAAGGTTGTTACATGGTTACAGTGACTTACTGAGGGTTGTTACATTGTTACTGTGACTTGCTGGGGGTTGTTACATTGTTACTATGACTAACTGAATGTTGTTACAGTAATGTACTGCAGGTTGTTACAGTGACTTTCTGAATGTTGTGACAGTGTTACAGTGACTTTCTGAATGTTGTAACAGTGTTACAGTGACTTACTGAATCTTGTTACAGTAATGTAGTATGGGTTGTTACAGTGACTTACTTGGGGTTGTTACATTGTCGGATGCTGGTCTTGATGCCTCCCCCACACGTGCGGGAACAAGGACCATAAACCTGCCACTTCCCCCAGCCCCCATTGCGGGCCTTGAGGGGGATCCGCAGAACGCACTCCCCGCTGCGGCACCAACAGCCCTGAGTCCGACACAGCTGCAACACACACGACACAATGAAGACTTCATGCCTCACATCTCAACTCAAACAAGCTGTAAATCTGGACTATCGTCTCGAGAGAAGACATATTACCATACATGTGCCTTATCTTGATAGGCAACAAAAACTCTCTGCATGTTTGCGTTGTGTCTATCTGGTATTGTCTAACATGCATGGCACACACTTTCTGTATCAGTTGGCAACGTTTTGCCATACTCAAGTTCTTTCGTTCCCATAAATCTATTCAGTTTTTGTTCCGTCCATCATAAATTACCACATCTTAATAAAATGATAATAAGAAAAATAAAGAAAAAGAAAATTCTTAACACTTAAAGAGGGATTATGCTGCATGGCATGCTGCCAAGTTTCAGTGTATGAGTAATTTGTGCCTTGTGAAAAATTGGTAATCATACACTATTAGATTGATATTCAACACACGCTTGAGTCTGCAGATAAACAAAGCTATGAAAGACTTGAATCAAATTCACTGGGGCTACCAATTTGCCCAAGCATAGTCTGTCTCACAGTCCTCGAACCATGTTATTGTCCCTTCCACCCAGCCCTTACTGTAATGCTATAGACCGGACTGAAGCAAGTCTAGATTTTCCCTTGGTTCAGGTTCTGAATCTCCCATCCCACTGGGGCTCCTTTTCAATTTACATGGTGTGGCTTATTTCTATTAAAATTGTATTTTTTCAGAGATGAAGAGCCAGTCTAGCTCAAGCCTTGCAACCCTTTATTTGTGTCCCATAATGTCCTTTGTTTTTGTGATGGTGTACGTACGACAGAACTGACAGAACAAGGAATGTGTCTGTCTTCATTTATTCGGTCATCTTTAGGTACTGTGATGGTTTGAAATCCTCAGATATATCTGATCATCAGAACAAAGCTGTGACAAGAACATAGCCAATGCTTGTTAGGTTGTTTCTGTGACAGGAATGAGAGGCTTGTGTGTCCCTATGATGGATGCTCATAATGGAGGTATGTCGTGTCTTGACAGTCAATGGAGCGTGCAGGGATCTATCATCATCATGCTAGCCTGACAACAGGTCCTGTCTCCACACTAATTCATTCATACTATTTCTAGATGAACAGAATAGTTTACATAACTACCAGTTACAAATACTGCATCTTAGAAGTAAACATTCTGCAGCAAATATATTGAAATGGGGCAGCAAAATATTTTTCAAAATTAATTCTGCCTCAAGAAGACTTTCCTTTGAAGGAATATAAACTAATCAATACAATTTTAAGAATTCCTAGAATATTGAATTTAAAATGAAAAATGAATAAAACACCAAAAGTGTTTGAAAATCTGGTCAGATTTAGTCATTCAGTCTGTATCAAATTCTGCTCGGTTAAATACACTTTTCCTTTTTGTCAGTTTTACAGAGTTGTTGAATTAGGTTATACACCGACAGACAAAACTAAACAAATAACATTAAAAAAACTGAAACCAAAATTGAATTTTTTTTTAAATATTCAAATTCATGGAAATCCTTGAGTACAGTCAATAATAAGCCCAAAAACATCACTGATTTGTTGCTTCAAAGGCAAAAACTTCTCCACCTATCTTGTCGAACCAATGTAAACATGATACAGCTCCACTGTCGTACTGTGACATCACCAAGTTTCCCCCGTTTGTTTCTGCAGTCTGTGATGAGGCTCACGAAACATACCTATCTATACATAGCTGCTTGCATCAGCCATGCTGTCGGTGATAAAGCTTATATATGTACCACGAACATACAGCCCGCAGAGATCAAAGCATCGGCTGTCCCCCTGCATCCCCCTCATTCAAGTAGTTTATTATGTCGGTGCATATTTCTTGAAAATTACACGTCAAACACAATAGATAAACCACTTCACATAAAGGTAACTCGCAGAAAAGAATTGTATGACTGCCAATGTTATCATCAGTACAGAACACAAATTAACTTATCTTACATCATCAAAGCAAGTATGTCAACATAGGATGGATGAAGGTAATGTTTTTTCACGATTGAGTCATTAAAAATAACCTAACTAACACCTGTATACAAACCTATGTCACGTTTTAATAAGTCATGGTAGAATGGAGATAAACATACTGTGTTTTCAATGTATGGTTAGGTTACCTGTAGTTTAAGTGTGCAAAATTTGATATGCATTGGGTTCCAGACTCAATTTAGCCCTGTTAAATCTAAAGGTAACCTAGCTTTACATTGAAAACACAGTATGTTTATCTTCTAAATAATAGTATATAATGTTTTTAAATATTTTTACATTTGGATAAAAAATTCATCTATCAGAGAAAGCCAGATGCAATATGCAACATGTCATAAAATGGGAACTCACTGACTTTTTGTTTCATTGATCACACCGCATCTCTGATAATTTGTCTTTTTGTTTGTGATTCTCTGCTGCACAAATTCACATTGGCAGTGCACTGACCTAGTAGCACCCCTCTCACATCTCTGGAGACATACCAGTTCACATTCATATTGTCTTAGACTGTCTACATTCACCAACCTGTCAGCCATCATGGAGCTGGACTATTGCTGAGTGCAGTTAAACAAACAAACAAACACCAACCTCTTATTTCAAGCATCATTAAACCACACCCAGAGAATGCCAGCTAGTCCATCTTTCAGATAATATCACATCCTCTTTTTTTCCCCAAGTATAAAGCAACTATAACTATACACATGCTTCAACTGATGCTGTTAATTTTTTATTCCTGTTTTCCTGCCTCTATTCACAACTCACAAAACATATGCATATAAAATGATGAAAGTCTCGATCCCGGCTCGGCCCAATTTCATTAAATCAGATTTCAGTGCTCGTCATGGCAACACATGAATCTGAGGACATCCAATTACAGGTTAAGTCTGAACAGCTTTTAGCTAACTTTGACTGAGAAATTATATCACTAACAGGAAGTTAACATTAGCCAATCAGAAAGCAGTTTTCTTGAGCTTTTGGGCACTAGTTTCAAACTGGCGACTTCCATTACCGACTAGCTTTGAAAATACTCTAACAATGTTTGTGATTAAAAATTTGAAAACTGAACAGAAGAATATTCTGGAATGATAATGGATTGCCAAGATTGTATGGCAGTACTTCCCATATATGTGACGGAAATTTCCTTCAGTTTCAAATGTTTATGCCATTGAAGCCAGAGACAGTTAAGGGCTTGGACGGAGTCCGTCGTACAACCCGTAACTGTCCTCTGGAATACCCTGTGTTAACCTTCTCAAGGTTGCATGATCAGAACCACATGCTGACTGTCACTGATTAGTCGGATGAATGTTCGACCTGACGTGATCCTTAACGGGATGTCCTCACATCTTTGTATAGTGGTAGCAAGACCTAAGATGTGATTTTAATGTGATTGGGATCGGTAGATCCCCAAAACTTTGATGTGGGACTGTATCACAGGGTTTTGATATTTGATATTTATTTGATATTGTTGATGGCTTCCAGCGCTATTTTGTTTGACGCTGCAAGAATCATCTGTTTGGTGTGCAAATAAAGTAAAAATGTTATTTTGTGCTAAAGTATTATATATGGATACTTTACCTTAAACTCTTTCATATGGCACTGTAGCTCACCTGTCTAAACATAATTCTTAACTTCATGTGTTAAACAAAAGCTAACTTGCTGATATATATCTGAAGGTAAAGTTGAGCATTTGCAATGAAAAGCATTTTTAAAATGGCCGCCAATATGTGAACGAGCCATATGGGAAGAGAAAATGATGAAAAAACGAGTTCAAAAGATTGAAGCAGTTTCAGAGAAGCTGAAATCATTTGATCTAGATGGACAACAGCTGATGCAACCTAACATGATTATTTTATCCAGGTGAGCTACAGGAGCATCTGGTTTCACACTGACCTTGTTGCGACTGATGTCCTTGCACTCCGTGCCATCAGCCCACGGCATGTGTTGGGTACGACAACCTGATGATGTCTTGTTGGTGCACCACAGCCTCTCACACGTTTGCTGCCATGCAAGAAAATATTTGGAGAAGAAATTATTTATTTGTTAACTCGTTCAAAAATACTACAAAATATGTTTAACACATATTATTTCCATCAACAGCCAGCATGCAAGTGACATTCTCAAGTGGTGTCAATTTATTCATGAAATATTTCAATTACCAAATCTCATCATCGAAATGTGGAGTCATCAGTTTTCCAAATAAGCCAAATTTCTGTCTCCATGACTGTGCCTAAATACTTAATCAGCTTTTGTAAGCGTGAAGACATTTTCTTTTAACATGCTATCAATTCCAGAATGAAAAAACACGACTTTACCCACGATCCCCCACAGCTGTTTATCTCTTACTAATGTGGGGTGTGGACTCAGAAACATATCCACTTGCGTAAGTCAAGGGAAATAATGTATTTTGATAGCTTCAGAATCGATCGTATCAGTACGAAGCCTCTCTTATGACAGCTAACAATGAAATAATTTGCTTTCTTACACTTCAAAACCTTGTAACATTTGCTATAGTCAGCTCTTTTGAAAAAAAGATGTTTTTCTACCCTAAAGACCCCTGGTCATGAATGTCTGTCAGATTTCGTCTAGTTAAACAGCTCACTGACAAATCCCCTCTCTTTCATCTGTGATGTTATTCTAGGCCTGTTACTGGTCGAGCAAGTGGCTTGTTAAAGGGAGACTAGGCATGGGTCAACTGTCAGTGCTAGCAATCAGAGCTCAATTTCAGGAGGTCAGGTGAAATGGGGTTTAACATCGCGTTATTGCACCTACATAGCGATGTTTGTGTGTGTGTGGCTGTTTGTACTAGTCCGGACTAATGCCGATTTTATAGAGCTAGCCCACTGAAATACCATGTCACAATTTAACATGAATACCCCACTCAGACACAGTATACTGACTCCACGCCGACCAGTCCTTGTTTTAGCCCCTTAAATATAAGCGCAAGGCAGGGTAACAACAAGTACCATCTTTTTAACATCTTTTGGTATAACAAGCCGGGGATTGAACCCCCGACCTTCAACTCTCCGAGTGGACACTCTAAAACTAGACCACGGAGGCGATTATTTAACTTGCACCAGGTTATCAAAGTTGAAACATAGATGCATAAACTAGTCTAAATAGACAAATTCTCAGATTTCAAATGACTGTATCATGATTTTAAAGATGTATTGGTGTAAAACGTAACAGGAACATGTGCACGTTCCTTGAAGTACCCACAGATAGGCGATGTCAAATCCAGGAAAACATGACAAATTACACATAACACACGGATTTGTGATGTGGTTTGGTAAACAAAGCTTGGTCACAGCTTGCAGATATAAATATTCAGGTGCACTTTTCAATAGTAGACTGCACTGGGACATGTTACATATAGCTACATCAAGCCCGTCAACAAGTTGGATCCAATTACCTAAAACACTACTCAGTTGGTCCACAAGCTCAAAGGACAAAGAATGATTAACATAGATTTTAAAACACAATCATAAAATATAAAAAATAGTTACAATTTATTTGTGTGTGCATGACAGCTCTCTAGGATGGAAACATAATCGAAAAGGATAAAACTACAAAAGTCCAACGAAAGGTAAATAAATTTGGTCTTTTTAACTAATAATGGATCAAACGCATACTAAACCATTACTAAAAATTCCAAATGAGAATAAAGCCTACTCTCACAGAAGTAATATATATATAGAAAATAGAAATAGAAAACATCCCCAACTAAATTTTTTGCCAAACAAAATACAGTAAAGTACGGTTATAACGAACTCAAAGGGACTACTAATTTTAGTTCTTTATAACCGTAGTTCGTTATAAGCATATATGCAGCATAACTACAGCAAATAGTCGGGACCAAAAAAGTAAGTTCGTTATATCCGTTAGTTCGTTATAAGCGTGTTCGTTATAAGCGTAGTTTACTGTATCATTGTTTTTAGCTACACAATACTCCTTTTTGTCATTTTGACTTACCCCCACTGACTGAGTTTAGTAGTAAATAAAGAAAAACATAAAATATAAAATCTTGACCTTCATGTTTTTCTCTATTAGAGTAAAACCAAATGGTTCTAAAACATATGGAAATGTGATCCCACAAATATGAAAGAGCAATGGAAATTACCCTGGTTTCAACATGTCTAGAGGTAGAATTTTCTTGCACAAGGTGACAAAACTCATAAACTATCCTCTTTATCAATCCGTAATCAATTTTCATGGACCTATCTAACTTGTCTTGCTAAGGGGGAAGTTATACTGTTGCTGAAAGATTCCTCACATATTTGAGGATCGTGAAGTATGTAAGTAATTCTATGGTTTTAGCTTCCCAAATCCTCCCTTCCAAAAAGCCCCTGTTGTAGCAATGGCGTGGGTTCTAACTAATAAACACAAACATACAAACAATTAAATAATAATCTTAAGACACATTTTAAACACTGGAAGCCAGATCAAATCCTTTATAACAATTCACCATTGTAATGCAATAAAAAAATAACTGTAACAGTAAATCTTGAAAAAACATGTTGAATGTTGTCCACAAGGGTATGATATTATATTCCAAACAAGTTTGTTTATTTAGTTACTATCCTCATCGTAAGCATAACTACTTCAGACAATCTTAATTCACGAACAAATACGAAATAATTTTGTCACAGTGTGGGGTAAGGTTGATTTCATCCCGACAAAATATTTTGACAGCTAGAGTAGAAATTAGCATCCTTTGGTGAAATCTTCATTGGGCGATTGAAAGAAGTGACCTGATTATCTGTATATTTTGACATATCTACAATCCCAGTAATGTTTGATATTTTCAATCTCAGAAATTATCAAGCACCGAAAAGCAATCTGTTTGCTTTTGTCCTATCAGTGTGTGTGATACCCTTTACTGCGAGACTGCCATTGCTGCGAGCGTAACATCAATGGCCGCTGATATCAGGGCACTGAGTGATAGAATCTGGCCTATGATTCTGCCTGGTGGGTGGGGGTTCTTCACAAGCCTACAGGAGCATTACACCACACTTTCTTGTCAAAGATGTTTGTTACAAGATAAATCAAAGATAACAATTACCCACTGGTTTCTCCAGAACCAGAAGGCACCAGTGGTTTCTTGTACCAGAGATCATTAGAGGAAGCCCCGGTGTAGCCATACTGACCATGTTCAGAGTCTCAGATGAATTAACTCAGGAATCAACCATTTATCTTCAGTGGCCTTGGGATAAATTATTGGGTCTTTCTTTCAGTGAACATTTCAATACCCATTTATAAAGAACATATTTATAGCCACATTATAGCCAATGATAGCCCATTGAAATATTTTTGTATTGAAATTTCTTCTTTATTGAAATGGAAGAATTGTGTATCCATTTTTTCAGATAACCAGTGATCATTTTCAATACTGGATTCAAAGTATTTAAAGTAATACAGGACATGGTTTTGAAACAAAGTGAAGACAACAATAATGGCTTCAAGTATATGGAATCGAACCCAACTACATGAACCAATGAGCCGCCTGATTCCACTTCTGCCCGAATTAATTACATTTTCTATAACATAATATTTCTTAAACATATTTAATAGTGGTAATATTTCTCATTTACAGATTTTATCTGCCAATATGCCAAGTTGCATCATGATAAAATGCTTGTCAGGGTTGGTTTGGGCTACATTACAGAGAGAATTAAAATTACAGTTACTCACCAAATAAGGAGGTAAATTTTGAAGTATATGTTTGATATATGGCTAGTTGTTTTACTTTACACCAAATATTTGCCAAATATATTGTCAATCAAACACTTCAATAAATTTTACCTTTTCCAAACTTTTACATTTTTAGGGCAGACTTTTCAATAAAATAATGAACTTATCTGATGTGATCGTAAATTAAGAACTGATATTTTATACATCATGTTCAGGAAGTATTTGTGAAAGGAATATAAAACCATGTAGATATTAAAGCACATGCTATGACAAATTAATGCACATACCATATGAGGACAGAGCACATAGCCTGGTCCGAAGACCAGCTCACATTGTTTGTCAACCCCGTAGAGCTGGCCAGGAGATTGGAGCTGAGTGAGTGTCATTTCCCGCCGAAATTTCTTGTTCTGTGGCCGATCTAGGAGGCACTCCGCTAGACCTGCACTGCACAGGAGGGTGAGGGGTGAACAGACATTCAGAAAGTTAGATCACCAGTTGTGCATAAAAAAACATGGCAAAGTCATACATCACTTCAACAGGCTTAACTTGAGGTGGAAGGGAGTGACGATTGTAGCTAGGCAATACAACTGATTCAATACAATATGTAGGCTTATTATCTTTCTGAATCCATTTTTTAAGGATATTTACAAAATGAAAAATGTTTTGAAAAAGTATTTTGTTAGGACCTACTCAAAGCATTCCTACTTTTCAAAATTACAGTGGGTCCTGATGTCTATGAGGTTTTCTTTGTGGTACGTGAAGGGAAGGGCCCCTAAAACATTAACTTTCACTATTAAGGTCATAACATGGACCTCTTGACTTTCATGCTTAATTTCCATCATGAATAGCCTGCTACAACCCATACAATGTAATGCCAAGGTGCCTTGCTAGAACCTACTCAATATCCTGCTAGAACCTACTCAATGTTCTGCTAGAACCTACTCAATGTCCTGCTAGAACCTACTCAATGTCCTGCTAGAACCTACTCAATGTCCTGCTAGAACCTACTCAATGTCCTGCTAGAACCTACTCAATGTTCTGCTAGAACCTACTCAATGTTCTGCTAGAACCTACTCTGTGTCCTGCTAGAACCTACTCAATGTCCTGCTAGAACCTACTCAATGTACTGCTAGAACCTACTCTGTGTCCTGCTAGAACCTACTCAATGTCCTGCTAGAACCTACTCTGTGTCCTGCTAGAACCTACTCAATGTTCTGCTAGAACCTACTCAATGTTCTGCTAGAACCTACTCAAAGTTCTGCTAGAACCTACTCAATGTCCTGCTAGAACCTACTCAATGTTCTGCTAGAACCTACTCAATGTTCTGCTAGAGCCTACACAATGTCCTGCTAGAACTTACTCAATGTTCTGCTAGAACCTACTCAATGTTCTGCTAGAACCTACTCTGTGTCCTGCTAGAACCTACTCAATGTCCTGCTAGAACCTACTCAATGTACTGCTAGAACCTACTCAAAGTTCTGCTAGAACCTACTCAATGTCCTGCTAGAACCTACTCAATGTTCTGCTAGAACCTACTCAATGTTCTGCTAGAGCCTACTCAATGTCCTGCTAGAACCACTCAATGTCCTGCTAGAACCTACTCAATGTTCTGCTAGAGCCTACTCAATGTCCTGCTAGAACCACTCAATGTCCTGCTAGAACCTACTCAATGTTCTGCTAGAGCCTACTCTGTGTCCTGCTAGAACCTACTCAATGTTCTGCTAGAACCTACTCAAAGTTCTGCTAGAACCTACTCAATGTCCTGCTAGAACCTACTCAATGTTCTGCTAGAACCTACTCAATGTTCTGCTAGAGCCTACACAATGTCCTGCTAGAACCTACTCAATGTTCTGCTAGAACCTACTCAATGTTCTGCTAGAACCTTCTCTGTGTCCTGCTAGAACCTACTCAATGTCCTGCTAGAACCTACTCAATGTACTGCTAGAACCTACTCAAAGTTCTGCTAGAACCTACTCAATGTCCTGCTAGAACCTACTCAATGTTCTGCTAGAACCTACTCAATGTTCTGCTAGAGCCTACTCAATGTCCTGCTAGAACCACTCAATGTCCTGCTAGAACCTACTCAATGTTCTGCTAGAACCTACTCAATGTCCTGCTAGAACCACTCAATGTCCTGCTAGAACCTACTCAATGTTCTGCTAGAGCGTACTCAATGTCCTGCTAGAACCACTCAATGTCCTGCTAGAACCTACTCAATGTCCTGCTAGAACCTACTCAATGTTCTGCTAGAACCTACTCAATGTTCTGCTAGAGCCTACTCAATGTCCTGCTAGAACCACTCAATGTCCTGCTAGAACCTACTCAATGTCCTGCTAGAACCACTCAATGTCCTGCTAGAACCTACTCAATGTTCTGCTAGAACCTACTCAATGTCTTGCTAGAACCACTCAATGTTCTGCTAGAACCTACTCAATGTTCTGCTAGAGCCTACTCAATGTCCTGCTAGAACCACTCAATGTCCTGCTAGAACCTACTCAATGTCCTGCTAGAACCTACTCAATGTCCTGCTAGAACCTACTCAATGTCCTGCTAGAACCTACTCAATGTCCTGCTAGAACCTACTCAATGTTCTGCTAGAACCTACTCAATGTCCTGCTAGAACCTACTCAATGTATTCCGTCATGAGTGTGGCGCTGCAGGGGGACCAGTCCCAGGGGCTGGAGTTGTAGTCCAGGGCGGGGGCCATCACATGGTACTTCTTCTTGGACTTGATGGACTGTGGGTATCGCAGGCACTGCTTGTCATCATCGTGGGGGAGGTTGAACCTGGAACAGAGAAGATCAAGTTGATCATCTGACGGTCTTCTGACAGCATGTCTTACTGTCTTGCTGTCAACTCCGAATCTTAAAGCAAGATAATTCCCTTCCAGTGGAAATTAGGCAATCTCCAACACTGGACACTTTCAAGACAAAACTATAGACTTATCTCTTTAGATGTGTCTATGACCCTAAGTGAGGCGCTATGAGCGACTACGTAGACGGAAATGGCGCTGAAGAAATGGACTTTATTATTATTATTATTATTATTATTATTATTATTATTATTATAATATGATATGATGTCTAACTGTCTTGCTGTCAACTAGGCATCTTAATGCAAGATATGACAGCATGTCTACTGTCTTACTGCCGAGTGCCAGGCAAGTAACAACAAGTACCATGGAGGCGGCCTATTACAATGAGTTCACTCCAGTGACATGATGTGCACAGATCAGTGTTGGGGATCAATAGGAGCATTGAATACAGCAACTTGACAGACAAACAACAACAGCTAAATGTTTGCTTGTCATGTTGAAGACCAGGTTTCAATTTCCCATATGGGCACAATGTGTGAAACCCCTTTGTGGTATCTCCCGCCATGATATTGCTGGGATATGACGACTGGGCCACCATACAGCAAAATGGTGCCTTTGACAACTCGGCCACCATACAGCAAAATGGAGCCTCAGACGACTTGGCCACCCGTTCCCCTCATCGATGTAGGGAATAGATTGGGAGTATTGGATACAGCTATTTGAGCGACAGACACCAACTGTTTCTCATTGTATTCTGCTTAAATTAACACTGAATGCCAGCTTGCTCTCAATTTCTGAAATCAAACCCACACAACAGCTGAGGGTGATCCCGAGTTGCGGCTGACAATCAATTGTCAAACAGTTACGCTTAAACATAATTTCATTACCTAAGAAACTCTATAAATATTTTGAGCCAAACAAGTTACAAACATGCTCTTTTCAAAACATGACAGAAACTTTTTTTACAGAAATTACTCCTACTGTATCTGTAAAAGGAGAAGGAAAGTTCATTCCATCAGGGGGTTGTGGAGGTTGGGCTGGCCGGAGATTGGTGGGATTGGCCTTGGGACTGTATCATATTTTGCTAACCCCCCTCCCCCCCATTTTATGTTACATTATTCCATGGCCCAATATCCCCTATAATAACTGCCTCCCCTACTATGATAAATGAGCAGTCCCTAAATAATGTAGAAAATTATACTTTTGATATTTGACAAAAAAAGAACTGTGTCATCTTATCATGGCACGCCCCAAAGTGATAAATTTTGGCAGCCCCTCCTCTTTTGCTGTGCCATTTATGCATCACTCCCCCGATTCTCACCGGCCCCTCTCCCCTATAATAAATGACCTGTCCCTAAATTGTTCTTGCAGTTATTGACAAAATAGTTGAATATAATACCTCAGCATGTCATTGTTTCATTTCATGCAGCTATCAATGGCTATAATACAAGATATGTGTGGACATGATAGAGCAATGTCTTGACATCACCTTTCAAAACTTGAAAATTTGACTCCAATTTCAAAGTCAGATAACATTTGCACAAAGAAAATAAGAAATTCATGAATGATTCTCACATTACATGTTTTTATAAACACAGCGATATGGCTCATAAAATATGTCATTTCCAGCGTTGGCTATGAGCGCAAGCTTAAGGGATAAAACATGTTGTCTGACAACTAGTTAAAGGTTAACATGCTAAGACAATCATGCCTTGATGTTTATGTAACAACTTATCTTTCATTGAGATATGTATTCATAGCAATATGCCTAAGGTTTCAAAGTAAAGTTTGTGAAGTGGGTGCCATTTTCTTGATATTTTCCCACCACGTTTTTACAGAAATTTTATCCACTGTTATGAGAGATGTTGTTAGTCTAGCAGCATTTATCAACATTCTCCAATCATTAATCTGTAGAGTTCCTGTAAGTTGTCATTAGGTAAACAGTCTGTGGTAGATCCTCTTTTTATACTCTTAAGTTATCTCCTGAGCTCCAACACATAGACGGAAATCTTCAAGTCTCCGTCTCTCTCACATGTCCTCAACAAAGCATCAAAATTTGAACTAAATCCATCAACCTCTATCAGCATGTAGCCTTTCTCATTCAATTCCATAATAAACTTAATATGTAAATAAATGATCATAAATCAAATGAATGGTTATTTGAGTTTTGCGTCAACAAAGTAGTTAGTGTCATATATATCCAGTATCCTTACAGACAGTCTCCCAACTATAGTCAGATGAATATTAACCACAATGGAAGAAGAATATATTTGTCAATTCAACAGTCTAGGCATGTTCAAGCTTTGAAACACACTAGTAAACAAGTATATAAAATCTCAAAAAAAACTGTTTGAACAAAATAAATTTAACAGACCATCTCACAGCTTTGTGTAGCATGTGACACCATATAATTATTCAAGGTCTAACTTCAGTGTCTGGTTAAAGAGTTTATTTTCTGGTTTAACACATGATAAAAAGTGTGCAATAAACTCAAAACTTGGTATTACAATCAGATAGATATGCAAATGCGCCACCCAGTAGGAACTACTTTCAATGAGCTCATTACATCAAAGTGATACCTATTTGCTTATGAAACTAATGCCTATTGTTTCACCATATGTTTTCTTATGTGTTTGGTTGCTGTTTAATGCTGCCCTCAGCACTATTCCAGCAATATTACGTCAGTCTGTAAATAATCAAGTCTGGACCAGACAATCCAGTGATTGACATCATGAGCATCGATCCACGCAATTGGGATACGATGGCATACATCAACCGATTACGACAAGCATAGGTCGCCTTTTACAGCAAGCATGGTTTGCTGAAGGCCTATTCTACCCCGCATCTTCACGGGTCTTTCTTATGTGTGCTTGCTTGTGAAAGCTAATATTGCTGCAAATTGCTTGGTATTATATAATAAATGGGTGAGTATTCCTACGCAGTCTCTAAGGTGTCTTTAGTGAATGATAATGTCTTAAATTGGAATAAAAAATATGTATCATTAGGACTGGGTTGGATAGCTCAGGTACTCGGGTCGGGTGGGTCCTGAGTGGGACCTGAGTGGGACCCGGGTACCCACTACCCACTAAACTCGTTGTGAGTAACGTGATATACTGTTAAATGGCAATGATAATAAAACTCCATGGTTACACTGCTAATGTTCGCATTCTTTAGGACTATACATTCCATTAGTTTCTGTCAGGGATCTAGTAAAACAATGCCGAATCAGACATTTTGTACCCAACTCTGACACCTACAGTGGGGACCTGGGTAGGGTCAGATAATAGGGGGTCAGGGACCTGGGTAGGGTCGGATAATAGGGGGTCAGGGACCTGGGTAGGGTCAGGTAATAGGGGGTCAGGGACCTGGGTAGGGTCAGATAATAGGGGGTCAGGGACCTGGGTAGGGTCAGGCAATAGGGGGTCAGGGACCTGGGTAGGGTCAGATAATAGGGGGTCAGGGACCTGGGTAGGGTCAGGCAATAGGGGGTCAGGTAATAGGGGGTCAGGTACTTGGGTAGGGTCAGTAATAGGGGGTTAGGGACCTGGGTAGGGTCAGGTAATAGGGGGGTCAGGGACCTGGGTAGGGTTGGGTAATCGGGGGTCAGGACCTTGATAGGGTCGGGTAATCGGGGGTCAGAGTCCTGGGTAGTAAATTTGGACTCCTCCCAGATCATACTCGTCATAGGTTGGCAATGTACAATATTATTCTTTTATTTATGAAACAAAAGACACTAGGCTAATGGTATGTGTATAACAGTCATACCTCCTTTCTCACATGAATCATCATTTGAGATATCAAAGGAGATAGATATAGGCTGGACAGCTTATTATTAAGAAATATTTCTATTTTTTCACAGTATGTTCTGACAAAGTTTAGAAAAATCGGAAAGATACACTTATATATATCACTTAAGTATCCAAATTCTATAAATTGTTGCAGTGAAAATATAAAAAATTCATTTGTTAATATGACATACACAATGATAATTATATGTGTCTTGTATGTTTTTTATTATCTTGCTTATGTTGTTACCATGGTGATAATAAAATACTATCACCTTTTCTTTTCAACACTTAGCCAACTACATCCCCTCAATAATTACAAAGATGCACGTAAAATAACTTAGGACTTACACATGTCCAAGTTCATGTGCGATGGTGTAAGCTGCGCTGATGCCGTTGTCTTCAATGATTGCACAGCTCCGGATTGGATCGCAAATTGTGCCCAGCTCAGCTAGACCTACAAGGAAATTCAGATACAATACATTCAAAACATTAAGGGTGAGTGAGTTGGGATTAATGCCGCTTTGAACAGTATTCCAGTTATATCAAGGCATGTCAGCTTAATGTGGGAGGAAAGCCTAAGTGATGCAGGTCTCAGACATTGACCACTTTGGTGAAACCCACACATGGGTATGGTGTAGTCTGTCATACAGACCCTGAAACAAATATATCCAATACAGCCCTTGCAAGTCTATAATGTTTGGAAAGTCTACGTTACTGCAGTATCTGAAAATGAAGAAAGTCTCTAGGCTCCTTTTTATTATATTTTATAACTATAAGTTAACAACTGTTATTTTCATTTCAGAGATTAGATGTCAGTCTAGGTATGGTGCTGAAAAACCTAGAAACATAATCAGGGCAAACTTGAATTCGAACCCACGATCATAGGTTCCTGGAGTGCCCAAGGGACACAACTCATCGCAGTGAGGTGTGGCACCTTAGGAGACTGGGCCACTGTAGTGAAATCCATGAGCGGGATTAGGGTGATGACAGACCAAGAAACATAATCGTGGCAAAGCCGGATTCGCGTGTGGTACACAAATACATTGCCACATGGTAACTCCAAAACAGTTTATGTTTACAGATATATATTTGGAAAGTGCATCATTGATTATCAAATGTATCAAATGGCCATCAATAATGATAAATACAGTGGACCCATTTGCCACAATGTCTTCATTCTTAGCCCAATTTGAACTTGCTTAACCGATGCTTAAAAGAGCCAGCCAAGGGAGATAAATCCTGTAGTAAGTTGGTGATACGAGAGAAGGAGCTGGTGTCAACCCATCCGAAATAAAGTGGTGAAAGGGTCTGGGGTATTTGTCCTAACTCAATTGAGATATGATCCACTGGGTAATCGAGGATGTGTGTGTGGGGACGAGGCACCTAAGATGAAGTTTGCATTTCACGAGACACACAGACCGCTGCAACATTGTTACTTACCTAGCGTATCACACTTTCCTACAGCTCGACAGATATCTTTTCTGAAATAAAGAAAGAGCAACTTTTATTTTACAGAAGAATATGTTATATAAGAAATGATTTGTGACAATGATTGAGAGACTGATGAGCTTGGCAAGACAAACCAGTGATTGATAGTATGATGAGCTGGCCATACAAACCAGTGATTGATAGTATGATGAGATTGGCAAGACAAACCAGTGATTGATAGTATGATGAGCTGGCCATACAAACCAGTGATTGAGAGAATGATGAGCTTGGCAAGACAAACCAGTGATTGATAGTATGATGAGCTGGCCAGACAAACCAGTGATTGATAGTATGATGAGATTGGCAAGACAAACCAGTGATTGATAGTATGATGAGCTTGGCCAGGCAAACCAGTGATTGATAGTATGATGAGATTGGCAAGACAAACCAGTGATTGATAGTATGATGAGATTGGCCAGGCAAACCAGTGATTGATAGTATGATGAGCTGGCCAGACAAACCAGTGATTGATGGTATGATGAGATTGGTCAGGCAAACCAGTGATTGATAGTATGAGCTTGGCCAGACAAACCAGTGATTGATAGTATGATGAGATTGGCCAGACAAACCAGTGATTGATGGTATGATGAGCTTGGCCAGGCAAACCAGTGATTGATAGTATGATGAGATTGGCCATACAAACCAGTGATTGATAGTATGATGAGATTGGCAAGACAAACCAGTGATTGATAGTATGATGAGCTGGCCATACAAACCAGTGATTGATAGTATGATGAGCTGGCCATACAAACCAGTGATTGATAGTATGATGAGATTGGCAAGACAAACCAGTGATTGATAGTATGATGAGCTGGCCATACAAACCAGTGATTGATAGTATGATGAGATTGGCAAGACAAACCAGTGATTGATAGTATGATGAGCTGGCCATACAAACCAGTGATTGATAGTATGATGAGCTGGCCATACAAACCAGTGATTGATAGTATGATGAGATTGGCAAGACAAACCAGTGATTGATAGTATGATGAGCTTGGCCAGACAAACCAGTGATTGATAGTATGATGAGATTGGCAAGACAAACCAGTGATTGATAGTATGATGAGATTGGCCAGGCAAACCAGTGATTGATAGTATGATGAGCTGGCCAGACAAACCAGTGATTGATGGTATGATGAGATTGGCCAGGCAAACCAGTGATTGATAGTATGAGCTTGGCCAGACAAACCAGTGATTGATAGTATGATGAGATTGGCAAGACAAACCAGTGATTGATAGTATGATGAGATTGGCCAGGCAAACCAGTGATTGATAGTATGATGAGATTGGCAAGACAAACCAGTGATTGATAGTATGATGAGATTGGCCAGGCAAACCAGTGATTGATAGTATGATGAGATTGGCAAGACAAACCAGTGATTGATAGTATGATGAGATTGGCCAGGCAAACCAGTGATTGATAGTATGATTAGATTGGCAAGACAAACCAGTGATTGATAGTATGATGACATTGGCCAGGCAAACCAGTGATTGATAGTATGATGAGATTGGCCAGGCAAACCAGTGATTGATAGTATGAGCTTGGCCAGGCAAACCAGTGATTGATAGTATGATGAGATTGGCCAGGCAAACCAGTGATTGATAGTATGATGAGATTGGCCAGACAAACCAGTGATTGATAGTATGAGCTTGGCCAGGCAAAGCAGTGATTGATAGTATGATGAGATTGGCCAGGCAAACCAGTGATTGATAGTATGAGCTTGGCCAGGCAAACCAGTGATTGATAGTATGATGAGATTGGCCAGGCAAACCAGTGATTGATAGTATGAGCTTGGCCAGGCAAACCGGTGATTGATAGTATGATGAGATTGGCCAGGCAAACCAGTGATTGATAGTATGAGCTTGGCCAGGCAAACCAGTGATTGATAGTATGATGAGATTGGCCAGGCAAACCAGTGATTGATAGTATGATGAGCCTGGCCAGACAAACCAGTGATTGATGGTATGAAGAGCTTGGCCAGACAAACCAGTGATTGATACTATGATGAGCTGGCCAGACAAACCAGTGATTGATGGTATGATGAGCTTGGCCAGGCAAACCAGTGATTGATAGTATGATGAGCTTGGCCAGGCAAACCAGTGATTGATGGTATGAAGAGCTTGGCCAGGCAAACCAGTGATTGATAGTATGAAGAGCTTGGCCAGACAAACCAGTGATTGATGGTATGATGAGCTGGCCAGACAAACCAGTGATTGATGGTATGATGAGCTTGGCCAGGCAAACCAGTGATTGATAGTATGATGAGCTTGGCCAGGCAAACCAGTGATTGATGGTATGAAGAGCTTGGTCATACAAACCAGTGATTGATAGTATGATGAGCTTGGCCAGACAAACCAGTGATTGATAGTATGAAGAGCTTGGCCAGGCATACCAGTGATTGATAGTATGATGAGCTTGGCCAGGCATACCAGTGATTGATGGTATGAAGAGCTTTGCCAGGCAAACCAGTGATTGATGGTATGATGAGCTTGGCCAGACAAACCAGTGATTGATGGTATGATGAGCTTGGCCAGGGAAACCAGTGATTGATAGTGTGATGAGCCTGGCCATGTAAACCAATTATGATTGATAGAATCCTCAACAATCCGCGCGTCAGAATTTGATGACAGTCAGTGAAGTCACAGTGAAGTGACCACCCATTATGCTCTTATGAGGCACTTGGGTACCCTTTCTGTTCCACATAGAATTTCAACATCATTTTCGACACATACAGTGTATCAACCAATGGAGATGTCACAAGTGTTTTGGTTGTCAAAATTCAGATTTGTTTGTTTGTTGGTTGACACAGCAATCAGCAATATTCCAGCAATATGACGGTGATCAGTAAATAATCGAGTCTGGACCAGACAATCCAGTGATTGACTACTCAATTGGGATACAATGACATACATCAACCAAGTCAGCAAGCCTGACCACCCAATCCCGTAAGTCGCCCTATACCGTAAGCATAGTCGCCTTTTACGGCAAGCATAGACTGCTGACGACCTATTCTACCCCAGATCTTCACGGGTCTCAAAAACAAGAATAATAAATGGCACTATTTTTTATTCGTCCTATATTTTCCAGTGATGGCATCCTTTGATTGAACAATCCTTATACTATCTCCTCCTCACCTTGTCAATAAGATGGCGGTGTCATGGTGGTTTGGGTGGTCCATATCCTGTTCATTGGACTCCTTCTGCCATTTACAGAAATCCTTCAGTGTCATGGCTGCATTTTCAGTGATTTTTAATTTGAGCTGAAGAAGAAGATTTACCAATTAAATCTTAATAAATAAATTTCATTGAAATTCTTTTTTCACTGCTCTTGTTATGAATCAGTTTATGTTACTGATAAATGTAGAGTAAAGCCTGCAAACAACAGATCTTGTATCAAGCTTTAGTTTTGTTTGTTGTTTAATGCCGCACTCAGCAATATTCCAGCTATATGATGACGGACTTATAAATAATCAGTCTGGACCAGACAATCCAGTGATTGACCTCATGAGCATCAATCTACGCAATTGGGATCGATGACATGCACCAACCAAGTCAGCAAGCCTGACCACCCGATCCCGTTAGTTGCCTCTTACGGCAAGCATAGTCACCTTTTACGGCAAGCATGGGTTGGTAAGACCTATTCTTCCCTGGATCTTCACGGGTCTCAAGGTTTAGTAAACATCGATATCCATGAGGAACCAGTAAACCAATGCTGTACTTGTTCCTACTGAAGCCAAGCTGTCTCCTGTGATAAAACCATGCTGAATAACTTTCATACCATGTAATTGAATTGCAGTCTTTATATCAAATCATAAGCCACATTACTGAAATCAAACCCTTTTTATAATCTCAATCATGAATGTCAGGGAATATGTCTGTCCTACCCAGTATTGTATTTCTCGGTACCATGTTTTCTTCTGACACACTTCCTACAGCTGTGCAGAAGGGGACAAAGTGCACATTACACAAGCAGACAATGCAGTTCGAGTTTTTTAAGTATTATTTACGCATTTTTACACAAAAAATCACTATAACAGAAATAACTGCATTACAAAATTGGCTACTACAAGGGTAAACTCACACTAGACTGTCTGGTAAGAGTCAGGGTCATTGATTCAAGTCACACATTTTTTGCTCTGAAGGAGGGGTCAAGTTGATATTTTTTTCACAACACATTTTTTACAGGGAATCTAGCATGTCCAGCAAATAATTTAGTTTTGTAAATACTGAGACAACAAAAAATATTCCAGTGTTTTCTATTTTATAGTTACTACAGAGCTCCAGATAACTTTTGAGCAATTCAGTTTTTACTCGAGGGTTTCTATTTTATTTGGGTTATTACATTTTCCATTGGTAAGCAATATTTTTTCACTTATCTATTCATCACTCTATTGGGGTTTTCCCAAAGTGAGTAAATATTTTGAGATTTAAAAGAAGAAGAAATGTTTTAGATGTATATAACAAGTCTAAATTTAGTCTTGACTTGGAAAGTTAATTTGCTGTTAATTGTGTAATGGAAATAAGCTCCGTTGTCTGCATACTGAAAAAAGAGTCATTGGTTATTTACGCATGATGTTTTTATACATTTGAGTTTTTCATTTAATGCATGCGTTTCTGTTCGTATGGTAATTGAAAGTAATTGGGTTTTGAATATTTTTGGGGGATATTTTACGTAAATATTCAGCTTATCTGTAGCTCTGGTTACTAAAACGGGATTTATGGATATGATGTAACAGAGGAAGTGTTTTCATAGGAATTATAAAATTTACAGTTACTAATATGTTTTGACTAAGTTCCTTCTCTTCCAGTGTAAGCCAAGACTTCACGAGAATTGAAACTGTGACGTTCTGCCTGTGTGTCATCCACACACAAACTTGAAAAGGGGTGTGAGCATGATCCACAGGTGCGTATCCCACAAAGGAAAATACCGTATTCGACGTAATAAGCACCCGGGGCGCTCTCAAAATTAGAAATAGGGGGCTCTTATTAGAATATAATTTTGGTGAAAAAAAAAAAAAGAGTTGAAAGATCGTAAACTTCGTAGTTTATGCCGTCAGCCTGAAAGGATACAAAAGAAAAGTCTGTGTGTATCATACACGACAGATATATTTTCCAGAGTTTAATTCCCCATAATTAAGGGTGCATATAACACTTGAGTGCGTATTACTCACGAACAAAAAAGTCTTGTGTACATTGATCAATCGGAAGGGGTGCTAATTGGGATTGTTCACTAGCCAATATTTGAGAAAATATCGCCGTGGGCGCTTATTAGAGCAGGGCGCTTTTTACGTCAAATACAGTATGGCACAAAACCCACACCTGCCTAACATATAAAAATAATAAACAATAAACAAGTTTTACACTCAGCACATTTTTTTCACCTTTTTATTTTCAAAAGAAAAGAAACAAAATTCTTCAAACCCATATTGTTCAGATTTGCAAGCTCTTTTTGAAGTTGTAACCTTAGCATAAGCAGATATGCGATAAGAAGATTGTGTGTGATAAATGTGTGACCCACTGTCACCACGTGGCGCTGTTTCCCACCCAACTGACATTTACACATATTCTATCATAACTCTTTCACATGATATCAGACCAAAAGTCAAACCCTTATGGAAAATTGTCCCCAAACACAAAATAAATTCAAAGGAATCCACCTTGTGGGTGTTCTTCATTATTTGGATATCTTTTATAATAATATTTTTCAGCAAGATTTTTTTTTTCTCGCCATAAACTGTTTTCTATTCCATCTCTTGTGCTTTGTTCTTTTTGACAAAGGGAGGTTGACCTTCATTGGCTAATTGTGAGAATTTGCTAAACTTTATTTCAAAGGCAATCACCCATGACCTAATCATAATTTGCATATATTTCTCTGATGATAACAGAGCCTCTCTTTGATGCAAGTTCAAGGGGAGATAATTACAGGATGATTTGTGGTAGCGAACTGACTTATATGCCTTCGCTACATCAAATTTACAATTATGTCTGAAATATTCCTGGGTGAAAGGTCTCTCTGGTTCTGTCATGTGTAGTAAAACCATGGTCATGTGTCAGTCTTTAAGTCATTGACAGTTCCGCTGTGTCCATTTCCAATCTGGGTCAAAGTTGACAAACATCACAGAAACATTTACTGAATAGTTTGTTTCATGCAACAGTTTCATCTGTGTGACAGAGACCTAGCATTTAATACTTGGCAGGGGGTATGGGGAAACATCCGGGGAATTTTGTAAGAAACAGAAGACGTTTGTGTCAAGACATACAATTACTTTTTCTGACCAATTTTTATTTATCATTTTCAAAATGCATTCTCTATCAACATCAAGTATGTCCAACAAACAGTCAATTCTTAACACAAAATCAGAGGCAAAAATTATATTGGTTCAATGTGTTCTGGAACAAATTAATTTCCTGGAACACATCCCAGCCCTCCACCAATATCAAATGATCGGCCCTTAGCATCTTTGAGTCCTTATGTTATGATTATGGGGCATTCTACCATGAATTTGGAAATTGCTCGATTCTGATTGGTCAGTCAGAGGCTATTAAATCACAATAAACTCTCTCTGATTGAAACAGTTGGTTTGACGGTGCGTTCGGTTCCAAATTCAATTTAACGTGGTTAAATCTACAGGTAACCTACCTCTACATTCAAGAAGGTAGACACACATTGAAAACACAGTATGTTTATCTCCTGATCAGAACTCCTGCAATAGTACTACGATAATTAAAATCATGTTTGCATCAGCAGTCTGATCACCCTATCCACTACGAACATCAAATGTTTGGCCTCTGAGTGAGTGAGTGAGTTGGGTTTGAAAGGCCGCTTTTAACAGTATTCCAGTTATTTCACGGCATGTCAGCTTAATGTGGGAGGAAAACTCGAAGTGATGCAGTTCTCAGACGTTTACCACTTCAGTGAAACCCACGAGCATGGGTATGGTGCTGACAAACCTAGAAACATTCTGGCGTGCCCAAGGGACGCAACTCTGCACAGAGAATCGCGGCGGCTTAGACGACTGGGGCACCCGTGTTCCCGTTTGGCCTCTGAATAACTAACATAAAGTACAAGTAATGTTGAATACTCACATCAGCAGGTCCTGGTTCTAGTATCTTCACTACGACTATATTGATAAAGTTGCCTATTGAGGGATGCTTGTATATATTAGTTACCTGCAACAGAAGGAAAGCATGATTAGCTGAATAAACATTGGCGACTACCACAGACGAAGACCTGGTCTTTCAGATAACAAAAATATTTACGATTTCATATCTGACAGCAAAGGCAATCGTTGAGGGGTTTAGAAGATGGAAATGACATGTTCGTGTCAACAAAGACAGGCAGCGGTAAATCACTTTCATACGAATCTGAACCAGTTCTTGGAATGACTGTTCTCATCATCATGCCGCTTATAAATGCAGTACTTGGGCGACTTGGATACATAACTTTGAAAGACTTAGAAAATACTTGTCTTCACTAAATTGTTGAGAAAAAAACAAATTCGGCAAGCTATTGCAGCAGCCATGATTTTGTAACCCGGGTGTTGATTTTGTGAAACATTCTCTGATTGGACTATCAATATATGTGAAAGTTCAATCATACTAAGCACAGGAAATGGGGCTTGATGTGGCAAGGGTGGAAACAAGACTTTGATAAACAGGCTAGTGGACGCTCTTGCCTCGGGAAGACGAACAAAGAGTTGTTGCTTGGTAGCCGTGGTAACCGCTACTGCTCATTCGTTCATCATATGATATCACTTTGTCTATATGTCACTGATTGGGGCTACAGATGAACCCATTAGAAAACTCTGCCAATGTACAATGCAGGATTAAGTGAACTTTGATTCTGAGTATTGCACATCATAAACATGGAAAAGTCACTTTAAAAAGAGCATAAGCATTTGGAGGTAAGTAATAAAGGCAGAGACTGGCCTAAAGCTAGCTAGCTCGCTCGCTCACTCACTCACTCACTCACTCACTCACTCACTCACTCACTCACTCACTCACTCCACCAAACACCCGCCCACCCGACCACCCACTCACTCTCTCACTCACTCACTCTCTCACCCACTCACTCACTCCCCCTTTCACCCAGCCACCCGTCCACCCACCCACTCACTCACTCACTCACTCACCCACCCACCCACCCACTCACTCACTCACTCACTCACTCACTCACTCACTCACTCACTCACTCACCCACACACCCACCCACTCACTCACCCACTCACTCACTCACTGGATGACAAACAGCCAGGTTACTGATTTGAGTTGTCTTCTCTGAGGTCACCGTCTGTCCTATATACTATACACTCAGCATATTGTCTCTCATATACATACATGGATAAACAAAAAACTATAAATAGTCGTATCAATCCTCAAAATATCAAGAGTCTCCTGAAAATGTAATCTTGATGATCAGAAATAGAACTACTTGTCTCATATGTTCTGCTTGTGGAGTAGATATCTCACATGCAGCACATTTCTCTCATCAAATACTGCTTTCTCGGGAAGATGAGACTAATTTCAGATGGTTAAGACTTCAAACTCGACAAAATTGGCCCAAGACTTGAAATCCATGATCATACAGGAGGTTGACGTTAGAATGTATATAAACATCAGCGAAAATTATACCACTTTAAAAGGCCTGACTCAAGATGAATAGAACAGTATGTTGATAATAGCCTTTTGTTTCAAGTCAGACAGCAATCTTGCCGAATTCGCGTCAACACCATGCATGTGTTGGAACCCACATGCTGTGGACTTCCTTGTTTGACCCAGACAAAGTAAAAACAATGTCTGACCCTGCCTGACGTAATCCCCCATTTTGGGGAGATTGGAATTCAGTTATTGTCTAGGCTTTATAAACTTAAAAACTCGGGACTTCTGTGTCAACACTATGTTGAGAGGATGCAGATCACGTGTCGACCAAGAACGATGCTGTCAGTAGAGATTAGTGGGGGTCGATACACAGATGCATCAGTGGATCACACTTTTTAACTTCTCGATACAAGTATTGATCACAGTCGCGCACTAAGTAAAAAGTATCGATTTTGACCTTAAAGGTTTGCTTTAGTAACCGTTCCACTAAACCCAAATCAGTAGTGCAAGTAAACAGTGAAAACATAAATATTTTCATTTGTTGTGCCATTCTGTCTATGAAAAAGATGGCTTATGAACCACAGATAAGAGTGAGTGGGTGGGGTTTTATGCCACTTTTAGCAATATTCCAGCAATATCACAGCGGGGGACACCAGAAATGGGCTTCACACATTGTACCCATGTCGGGAGAACCAAGTCTTCTGCGTGATGAGCGAACGCTTTAACCACTAGGCTACCCCACCGCCCACAATAATTTAAGAGAGAGAGAAGTATGTGCTTACTCCTTCATCACCTGTTCCTCATAATAAAGAAGCTGACATCCATAAATTCTCCCCATTATCTGTATAAATTCTAAATGCCATTCAAAGACTTAACAATAATTTAACATGCATCTTTCCTCCCTGAGCTATGTGACATCCTCTAAATCCACCTGTTTGGTCCATAGAACCAATATTCAGATGGCGATGTTTCATGGCATCTGGCCGACCTCTCTGACCAAACTACTTCACTTCTGGAAGTAACAAATATGGATGCAACATTTCCCAACTGACTGAAGGTCACAAGGTGTATTGATGGAGAGATCCGGATGCAGGCTATCTGGAAGGTCATCAGTGGGGAAGGTAAGGGATTCCTGTAGGGCTGGTCACTGCTAGAGTAAACGTAGGCACCAGTGTTTATATCTGGAGCAGCTCTATGTTCTCCATGTTATGCCTAACTCTACAACAACGACTACCAGACTCTCTGTACTGACCATCTTCAACACTGGGTGAGCTTTCGGTACTCTCATTACTTCTACCAGGTGGTTCTACAACAGCTCTCTCAGCAGGTGGCGCTACAAGCTCTCAGTACATACAGTACTCTCACCAGGTGGCGCTACAAACTCTAGGTACATACAGAACTCTCACAAGATGGCGCTACAAACTCTCAGTACATACAGTACTCTCACCAGGTGGTGCTAAAGACTCTCAGTACATACAGTACTCTCACCAGGTGGTGCTAAAGACTCACAGTACTTACAGTACTCTCACCAGGTGGTGCTACAGACTCTCAGTACATACAGTACTCTCACCAGGTGGTGCTACAGACTCTCAGTACATACAGTACTCTCACCAGGTGGTGCTACAGACTCTCAGTACATACAGTACTCTCACCAGGTGGTGCTACAGACTCTCAGTACATATAGTACTCTCACAAGATGGCGCTACAAACTCTCAGTACATACAGTACTCTCACCAGGTGGCGCTACAAACTCTAGGTACATACAGTACTCTCAATAGGTGGCGCTACAAACTCTCAGTACATATAGTACTCTCACCAGGTGGCGCTACAAACTCTCAGTACAAACAGTACTCTCACTAGGTGGTGCTACAGACTCTCAGTACATACAGTACTCTCACCAGGTGGTGCTACAGACTCTCAGTACATACAGTACTCTCACCAGGTGGCGCTATAAAAACTCAATACATACAGTACTCTCACCAGGTGGTGTTACAGACTCTCAATACATACAGTACTCTCACCAGGTGGCGCTACAAACACTTGTTACATACAGTACTCACACCAGGTGGTGCTTCAGACTCTCAGTACATACAGTACTCTCACCAGGTGGCACTACAACAGTTCTTGGCACAAACAGGACTGTCTTCAAGGTGGCACGACAACAGTACTAGATTTATAAGCTACTCCCTACCATACATTGTGGGGATTCCAGGGCAGACTTTGTCGGCTCTATCTTGCAGTTGTACAAGATGGAAGATCCGGGGTAGAATAGGTCTTCAGCAACCCATGCTTGCCGTAAAATGTAAGAGGCAACTAATAGTATCGGGTGGTCAGACTCACTGACTTGGTTGATGCATGTCATCGTATCCCAATTGCATGGATCAATGCTCATGACATCAATCACTGGATTGCCTGGTCCAGATTTGATTATATACAGACCTCCATCATATAGCTGGAATATTGCTGAGTGTGGCATTAAACAACGAACAAACAAACAAACAAACATGATGGAGTGGTGAGGTAGCCTAGTGGTTAAAGTGTTGGTGGCAAGCTGAAGATCTTGGCTTGAATCCCAACATTACTATCTACTCCCTTTCAACCCCTGTCCTCAGCCAAAGCATAATATTCATAATTCTTTGTTTGGTTAATCCTAATTCTTCCAAATATAAAGTTTACAAAAGAGAAGATTGTTTTCATATTATCTTGACATGACATTTAAACTGGCATCTACACATACACATCTTCCAAACCTTATACCCATTCAGTCATGGAACACAACAACCATAGTGACCTACTAGACAGAAATAGATCATCGATATTTATAGAAACTGGACCTGCCATCACCGTATCAATAGGTTCTTCGAGAAATGTCTTTTCACAAAACGTGCTGAATCTGCACAAACCAAAGGCACTATTTCACAGATTGTGCAACTGCCAGATATTAATGGTGCATGATCGAGAAAATGAGGTCAGCTCATTGAAACCACATCAAAATATTTCTCTTGGCTCTGGCTACGCAAACTAAACAGAGCCCGGGTTTACAAAAGCTGAGACTGATAGTGGCAGAATTACACTGCCAGAACCACCGGTGGAGGAATTCAATTGGCCAACGTTGATCAAGAGGATGAGAATGTACGTTTACCTTGACCAGAATCCTGCTTCTGACCTTCGAGGTATTTTTCAGGTCACATTTCAGGTCATATTAACAGGCCCTGTTAACATTCTATAAACATCACCAGGTGCAAATTACTGGAGGTCACCGTTGTTAGGATCATACTTATGTCAGATCAAGTGTCTTCAAGACTTTGAGTGGGTAATTAAACTTGGGTATGTTGCTTAAGAAAACGTGTGTTTCTTCTCAACAGTCGACCTCTTTCAGAAGCCAAGTTCATATCTGCGCACAGCTTTACAAAGACAGTTTGCATACGTTTTACACTGCCATAACCTTGTGGTATATGGGTTCCAAAACTTTCTTTGGTTCCAGCAAAATAATACTGCTTCATTTATGTTGGTATACTCCCCCTAATGCTCAGTACCCAAAGCCATCCTCAATAAAAAAGATAAGGATCTGT